CCACAGTATAGATTAAATGTTCAGAGACAAGCAGGTTACAGTACTACACTACCCAGTTTACAGAAGGAATTATTGTATTTTTGAGCAATAGAAACACCTATAATGAATAAATGCTAGATAGACATTTTTAATGTCATACTGTGGAAAAATTCCAGGGAAAGCAGTGACATCTCCATGGCAACAAGCAAGTAGCGGACCCCCACCAGAAAGGTTGTGGAGTGCACCTTTAAGTTGCTGCTTCAAGCTAAAACATATTCCTAATTAGTGGGAATAAGTAGTGGCTAATAGTATATTCTTGTCATGAGATAGAAATGTTGACTTTTTGTATGTGTCATAATAATGGCATAGTGAATTGTTATGAGCCAGCTGCAGATTCCTAAAAAGGACACTTTGGGTAATGTCCGGGTATTCTACTAAAGTAAAGACTTCAACAGGAAACTACACACTCAAGTTCTGACAATTGTATGACCTCGTAGTTGTTTAAAGCTACAGCAGTCATTTTGTCTTTTCTGTTTGCCTGTACACACATGAATCGAGGTGTCAGTGAGTGTGGTTTAACTAATTTGAATAATTGTTTGCATAAGAAAGAATGTAGTTGTGCACTTTTATATGCTTTAGTTCTTACATTCAAATTCATATCTAAGGCTGCGTTTACACACACACACACACACACACACACACACACATACACACCCCATCACAGTTGGGGTGAAACTGGGACAAATCCAGAACTAAACCTTGACTAGACCAGGATTAGAGGTCTAGAATTGGACCAAACCACAGTTTACATGAAACACCAAAAGGGCTTCAAACCAATACCAAACCAGGACCAAAAATGTTATGTTGTGAATGGCCCCCAAGTTGGTACTGAAAAAGTTGGACCCTGAGATCAAGAAGGTTAAGCTCTCTAGGATAGTTCTCTCTTCTCTACAATACAAACAACAATGAGAAGAAAAAAAAAAAACTTTTAGCCCAATATAACATTAGACATATAACATTACAAGCTATGAACATATTTGCATATTAAAACCCAACAGAACCTCCTCTCATTCCCTATGCAGACTCCCCAGATCCCCATGGTGAACAGGACAGTGCACCATGATAGTTAATGCCAGCTCATAAGTGTCTTTGCTGTCGGACTAGAAGGGAGCGTAGCTAAAAGGCCATATGTTGCAGCGTTGGCAGAAGCACAGGCCTCGTGATCTACAGCTGGGAAATTATTTTGACCATTCGCAGTGTAGCTTACCACTTTCTTATCACTGCTCTTGTACAAATACTGATTGTATGCAAGTAACAATGTGAAGGAGAGGTTGAATCCGCATCCTATTATTTCTCATAGTATTAACACTTTATATAAACCCTCTACCAGGCTGTACAATCCATTTCCTGCTTGATGTTAAAATAGTTTTACCGACAAACAGTTTACAGATTTGTCTAAACAAATCGTCTTCCTTTGTCCTGTTGGGTCAGAGCAAAATATTAGCAAAATTAGCATTTCTAAAACAAAAAAAAAAGGGGGGAACAGTATATAGGAAAATGTTACTGTTAAAGGTGCGCTATGTAACTTTTTTGTTAAGGCCCAACATCTACTTGTCTCTATGGACAGGTTATTGCTTTGCCTGTAATGTTAAAGATGTATCTTGCATTCATGAAGTTAAGTTCATTTTTACTGCTCAAATATACCTGAATTCTGACCATGATCAGGCTTGCCTCTGCACAGAACTGACCCATAGCTTGGCCTGGTGGAGTCATCAAAAATGACATAGTACATCTTGGTGAATGTTTTTAAAGATGTGCATTTATATCCAAAATATAAATACATTTTTAATCCATCTTGCCTATCCTATACATTATCTATAACATAGTAAGTGGTGTTATAAATATACTCCTCTCTGTATTATTATATGTAACCTAACATATGTCTGTTTGATCACAGTTTTTAGGGAGGTTTCTTTTGATGTTACAACTTGTGTCACTCCCTCCCAAAAGTACGACCATATATGACAGAAGTTACAACTGCCTTCAGCCTCTTGAGGAAGTGGTCTCTTGTGCCTGAGCTGAAGCAGAAGTGAAACGCGGCTGTGTAGTTCCTCTCTCTGTTTCGGAGAAGAGACTGCTGTGCAACAGGAAGTCAGGCACAGAGACACAGGAAGTCATCTGAGGCCGAACGCGAGCCTAGCATAATTACACTTCTAACCTGTAGCTAACATTCCTACCATCTGCTCAGACATGCTCACTTTAAATCATAATGTTGCAAATTGGAGAGTTTGTTTTTATAGCCTGTTGAAGAAGCACTTTATGTTCAGAATAGAATTATATTATATAATATTATCATTTTATTAATAAAATCATTCTTACTGTGAATATCTCGCTTCTCCACAAATGTGACCTGTAACTTTGTCTAATGGTGTCACTTGGAACATTGAAGAGCCAACAACTCCACAGTAACAAGCAAATGATGGACCCTCAAGAAAAGTTACATAGTGCAACTTTAAACCTGACATGTTCACTGTAGTTCACTGTCTCCTTTTCCACTTAGACATAACCTCTGTGTGTTTGTGTCCCTGAATGTACAGCCTCTATTTACATTATCTGTGAATCTGCCTTCAAAATAAGGGCCCACCCTCTGCAACCTGCGTCCTTCGTTTAACTTTTCCTTATGGGTGTCTTTTACTTTGAAGATCCTTATCTACAAAGACTGATTTTAACTTTTGCACATAACTTCAGATATCCTTGCTACTGCTAATAGTATGAATATTTTGAGAGAGTGTACAGTACAGTAGGTTACATTCTTGTTGTAGCTTGCACTGACTTCTGTAAACACTGCAGCCCAAAGTCAAACAGCTGCCCCGCACACTACAACATGTACCGTGGGAAGAATCATGCCTCGTTTGGCCATTTCCAGGACATACAGTTCAAAGGAGAAATATGCATACCCTTGATGATTTCAGATTTAAAAAAAAAAATTCTTACACTTCAGATGATCAAACCATTTGAATACCTCACAAAGATAACATAAGTAAACAGAAATGCAGTTTTTAAATTCAACCCTGACCCCGATTGTGTGTGACAAACAAAGTGAACCTTTTGATCAACCACAGATCTTGGAAAGCTGAGTTGAGTTTCACTGGCCAAATAGTGTATAGAGCCTGCCAGACAAAGTCAAAGTCCAGGCTAAGATCTCAAAAGAAAACATATTATGTTGGGAGCCAAAAATAATGAGAACAAATGGGAAAGCAATATTTTCTCCCAAGTGTACATTGACCACTCAGTCAGGAGGTTACAGAAGGATCCAGAATGACATCCAAAGACTGTTAAGTTAGTGGCAGTGTTCACAACTCAACCATAAGAAAGACCACGTTATGTTCACTTGTGTTCTTTTTGTGAAATATTAGAAATGGGTCTATGATATGAAACAATTACGAGTGGTAAATGTGTCAAAAATTGAAGAGTTCACATACTTTTAGCTGTATTTTCCTCCTCACTTGTTGTATCGCTGAGATAAAACTTAATGCTGAAATTGATTTTGTGTAGTGCTGACAGGCTCCCTCTGTTCATGAGACGTCTACATTGTTTCCATAGTTCCATACAGTCTGTGCCCATCAGTGATCTTTTATGTCTGTCTCTCCACAGCCTCCTCTCATCCAGGCCATCTTCAGTGGAGACCCTGAGGAGATCCGTATGCTCATTTACAAGTCTGAAGACATCAATGCACCGGTACAAACACAGCCTACACACCCACATATAAGAAAGCATCCCAAATGTGTACGATGGAAATTAAAAGAGAACACAGTTTTTTTTTTTCATTTTATGCCACGCTGCATCTGGGATGAAAAGTTGAAAACAAAAAAAGATTTGTTCTTAAAAGTTCAGTAGGAAGCAACAAGTTGAGAAATAATTGCTGTTTGTATTTTTTTTTTTTTTTTCAGTTAAGGTCTTACAAGGTTTAGTTTTTGAAAGTTAAAGGGCCCTAACACTTGATCTATGTTAAAATCTTGTTTCTTTAGTTGTGTTTTGCTTCATTCACACATGTTTAACACACATCCATACATCTTCACTAGAATTATTTGGCTAATTTCAGCCCTGCAATTGTCAATATCTATGAACAGAAGGTAAAAGGTACCTATTTACACGAAAACTTCTGCGTCATTACTAGGGATGGGCATGATTAATCGATTAATCGATAATTGATCATTAAGAATTTCATCGATTACGTTCATTTTAATCGACAAACCGAATGTAGGTTGCTGTGCGTAGCGTGACCAAACAGGGGTCCGTACATGTAGCTCTTTGCACTCAGAAGGAGCGAGACACAAACAGTCGGTCAGTCTGCAACGCAAATGTGTATTTAATGATGACTTGTACAAGAAATTCCACGCTTTCCGTTGCGTTCGGGACAAGTGTGAGTCCATGTGCACAGTGTATAAAGCAGCACATATGTTTCGGTGTCCAGTGGGAAAAAGCTTTACCAGGTGAGAGTCGCGCAATGTCGATGACGAGTCCCCATCTCCCACCCCCCGTACGGTGTCCTGGTTTTGACAAACGCAAATCTGGTCACACTAACCTGTATTCCACTGAATCATGTCTTTTAATCCAACAGAAGTTGACCGCATCAGCGACACAAGAGCTGGAGTTTTATCTTCGCTGAGTTTATGCAAATTAGCGATGCGGTTTTAAGATTTGTTTTTGTGAGAGTTGCGCAAAACTGCGTTAAACACATTATAATCTCAAACGGATTGATGTGGCTCTAGAGTCGTTACGGTTTATATGTCGTAAAGTTGAATTTATGTATGCAGGTTAGTAGTGCAGATAGTAATAATAATGATGATCATTTTAATATAAACACGTTAATGATTAATCGATAATCGATCGTTAATTCTTCCGACGATCGATTAAGAAAATTTCATCGAATGCCCATCCATAGTCATTACATCACAAGGTGGAACAGAACATTTTGAGCTTTGGAGATGTAGACAGACTAATAAACCAGGAGTATTCAAACATGTGAATGAAACACAACTCCAGGTATGTTTTTGTGGAGGTAACAACAATCTTAAAGCTTAAAGCTCACAAAGTCATTTTTGCTTAATATAGAACCTTGAAGCAATGACATATTCTAGTCATATAGTCATATCTAAAAACAGTAAAGACGGAAGACTTAAGCCATTCAATTCATCCGGTTTTGACTAATAATGTTACTAATACTGCATAAAATATAGATCACATCCACATGTATCCAGTCACACACTGGATACATGTGTCTAAATGATACTTTTGTTTGTAAATTATTTGGTGCATCTTCTCGTAGCCACACCATTTGAATCAGATTTAGCTGTATAAGTGATCACATGCCCTCACTTCCTGTTTTCTTCATTTCAAACCAGAACGAAAGTAAAGGACAGTGGTTGCTCCAAACACACGTGTTCTGTGCATCAGCTCCTCATCACATGGTAGAAAACACAACCTTCTTCTTGTGTTCAATATCTCGTGTTTAGAACGGTCTGCATTTGCCTCTATAGTCCACTTTATTCGAGTGGCTGCACTGAAGAGCTGATCACATGGACTAGAGGACTGCTCATAGACTCTTACTGTTGGAGTGTGTATGTATGAGCTCATTGGGTTGAACAATAGTTGTGTTGACACTGACATCTCCGTGACCCATCCACAGCTCCTTGTCCAAAAAATAATATTACGACCTTGTTTTGTCACATAATGCTGCTACAGTGTGGCAGCAGACAGACATGTATTCAGTGTTAAAGAATTAAGGCTACCATCAGTTTCACAGAAAGAGTTATTTTAAGTACCATTAACCATGTTACAAAACATTTGGCCTCAATAATGGATTCTATATTTTACAGGTAGACCTGTCACTATACTCAATCATTCATTATTTGAAAGAAGGAACAATATTTTTTAGCAATGTCTGTGTGTAATTTCTATTTTACACTGCTGGATGCACAATAAGTACTAAAATGTTTCATTCTGCCATTTATATATTGTAAATTTAGAATACTTTTTGTGGTTTGAACCTGCTCTTTGGTTTTTCTGTTAGTATATAAATCAGTTTCAGTGTTATTGTTTATTGTCTATATTTACTTCAGTAATATATCACACTTCAAAATGTATTCTCGTGACAGGCCTATGTACAGGAAAACAGTGGGTTTGTGTGCCCTTGAAACTAATTTTTGTTAAGGTTATATCATATTGGGAATTATGCTCATTGATAAGCATTCTCTGAATTTAATAGGCATTGTTATCAAATTGCATTGTAATTCCTTTCCTCGTGTCTTAACTTGCTTTAGGTACCGAATAACTTTGTCTGAAATGTTTCATCGGAATTGTAACAGTGAAACGTTTTAATAATTCTAAATTGTGCACTTGTTTTTTATACCCTCAGGATTCAGAAAAACGCACACCGCTTCATGCAGCAGCTTTTCTGGGCGATGCTGAAATCACAGAGATCCTTATACTCTCAGGTAAAACTCTCTTTATTTAGTACAGTATTTACCAGACCTTTATTCACAGATGTATTATTCCCTGTAGTAATTAAGAGTCATAGTATTTCAGTTTGTGCCCTTCCTCTACTCCACAGGGGCCAGAGTCAATGCCAAAGATAACATGTGGCTCACCCCCCTGCATCGTGCGGTTGCCTCTCGAAGTGAGGTGAGCTCTGTCTGCACTAACTGAGAAACAGGTGTCAGTGCACACAGACTATGATGTGACCTAGGTGCACCCGTATACTCCTTTAAAACAGGTTATTCAACATGGCTGGAATAGTTTAGGTTCAATTAACAGATTACCAAGGAAAGTATATTTTTCCTTGTATAGGTGTGACTGGTAGGCATCTAACCTTGGAAGGATTGTTATTATTGTGGTTTTTAAGTCAAGCAGGAAGCAAAGTGTCAACACCCAATGCAAACCAAACCATAACATGTTTTAATAATCCAGTCGCATAGCTGCTCTTAAACTTTATGTTCTATTGTTGATGTCATCCTTCATATCTTCAAAAATTCAATCAGTTAAAAGTAGGCATAAATACAAACATGTGATAAATAAAAATAAATAAATAATAATAAAAAAAATAATAATAATACATAAAAAGTTAATTAATCTTATTTTGATGCAATGTTCAGTTCACAAGTTATGTTTTTAGCCATCACACACTTTTAAACATGTTAATCTTTGCGGTTGCTAGGAGACGGTGAGCATGTTAATCCGGCACTCAGCTGATGTGAACGCTCGGGACAAGAACTGGCAAACTCCGCTGCATGTCGCCTCTGCCAACAACGCCCTGAGGTGTGCCGAGGTCATCATCCCGTTGCTGAGCAGCGTCAACGTGTCTGACCGAGGAGGGCGCACCGCTCTACACCATGCTGCCCTCAAAGGTCACACAGAGGTAATTCAGATTACGATGCTTAACCACTGGATTGTCAGGAGAAATATTTTTGGGTATAGAACAATCTGCAATGTTAAGCTCCTTGACAGGTGAAATTACACCGTAGATCATCTTTTCATCTCGGCACCTGTTTGTGGTGGACTTGGTGACAGTAGGCATCACTTGAAGTTTGTGTTCACACAGTCATGTTAGAAGTCATAAAAATGGGGGAAGAAAAAGTGGAAGGATTATGGATTAATAATAACGCAAATCAATCAAAGGTTCAGATGAGAGGTATGTGGGGAGTGAATGGTCTGGTCTATGTGTTGCAATTTAACAGACATCTACCTGTCCTGTATCAATTCATTTAAAAGAAGTTCAGTTTTGGATGGACAGGTGTCATATACAGTGCATTGTGGCTGTAGATAAACTTTCAACTTTCATAAACTTTGTGTTGCCTGATCTTGACATTATTTCTGTATGTTTTGTATTTTAAAGAATATGATTCTTATTCTCTTTTGGATGAAAAGTACATTTTTAGAAAATATGTAGGTGCATTTTCTTCATTCATAAATCAGATAAACTAAAGGGAAGGCAGAGGAGTTTTTGGAGCCAAACCGGACGAACAGCTTGTCTATTTCTGACTCAGTATTTTCAGCTTGGGTGTTTATGCAACAAATATCCCAAATGATGACATATATTTACAATACAGTTATATAAGAACATCACCCACATAATCTTTCTCACTGACAATCCAAAATATGGCTGCACACAAACAAAGCATATAATTGAGTAACACTGTGCTGCCCTATAGTGGAGTGGTCAGTATATATACTGTATATACGCTGTGAATATTCCCTCTGCTCTTCAGCCCTGTTTCACACTATACTGTCTTGTCAGTGGCAGCCTATGGATCAAAATTTTAAAAAATGAGTAACACTGCAATGCGCACATAATTCCTAACCATTAATTTCTTTCCAGATGGTGAACCTGTTGCTTTCAAAAGGAGCCAACATCAACGCATTTGATAAGAAAGACAGCAGAGCATTGCATTGGGCCGCCTTCATGGGTAAGACACAATGTACCTCTCATTAGCTTGATAGAACCTATTAAATTAAATATATCTTATCTCATATTATAACCATTTCATTAGAGCATTAGTGAGGGTACAAATACCAAAACAAGCACTGATAACAGAGTTTTAGTTGGCAAAAGTCCAAATAGTGTAGTAATAGTATTTTATCATAATACTTCTATAGCATATCACACACACTGTAATCCTTTATAGTAATTTATGAAACTCTTCTCCTGTTGTGTGCAGGTCATCTGGATGTGGTGTGTTTGTTGGTGAACCAGGGGGCAGAGATCAGCTGTAAGGACAAAAGGGGCTACACTCCGCTCCACGCAGCAGCCTCGAGTGGACAGATTGCTGTGGTCAAGCATCTGCTCAACCTGGCAGTAGAAGTAAGACCAAATATGTAGAATTTATTACTTTCACGAAAATATACTTACCATTTGTTTCATAAAAAATGTGAAAAAGTAACAAATACATTCTTTTACATATTTTTAGTTTTAATTGACCTTTTAAAGGTGTGTTAACTCTTCTGGTTATTACTTTGCATAGAATGTTCCAATTAAATATATTAAATATTATATATTAAATATATTTCTTGTTTTTGTATTCACTTACTTAATACCTGGTTTCTTTATGAGTTGGCTCACTTCTCCACAGATAATCAGGTGGAGAACCATCCTACAGAAAAGTTACATTGTACACTTTTAATGAATGTTGTACAGTTTCAACTTTTATAAAAGGGTAACTAACTAGACTTTTTAATGGTTGGTTCAGTATGCTTATTTCTAGTTGAGTTATTTAATCTAAAGCAGTGATTTACCATAATAGTAAATATAAATGCTGTCTGTGCACAGATAGATGAGGCGAATGCATTTGGAAACACAGCTCTGCACGTGGCCTGTTTTAACGGTCAGGACACAGTTGTCAATGAGCTCATCGACTATGGGGCTAACGTGAGCCAGCCCAACAACAAGGGCTTCACTCCTCTGCACTTCGCCGCCGCCTCCACCCACGGAGCGCTCTGTTTGGAGTTCCTTGTCAACAACGGCGCGGATGTCAATGTGCAGGTATACAATTTACTGCTTTTGTACTATGGCTATTATTTAATATGTTAGAAAATGTTGCTATTTTTCCAGTCAATTATAGCTATATTTATATTTATTAAGTATGAAATAAATAATAAGACAGACATCAGACACAACAGTAACATAATCATAATTAGGAAAGAAAACAGTTGCACATTGAGGCAGACAAAAACAAACCAAGAACAAAAGGAGACAAGTGGGTGTCAGTGATGTTGTGTTGTGTTGTGTTGGTGTTGTGCTTGGATAAATTGAGAGGGTTCATGTTGTATATAAATATGTGGTGTACAGGTGTAGCCAGATTATTTGGTTTGCTTACCTTAAACATTATTTTACAGTACATTTTAATAATTGTGTTCAATGTGTAAATTGGTATTCAAAATAGTGAAATTCAAACTGCTTCGCCATAGTTCTTTATAAAAGGAACTAATATCTCTTCCTTGTGCGTCAACAAAAAATACAAACCTCGGCTAGGTGCCAAACCGATATTAAGGAACAGACAGGAAACTTTTTTTTCTGTTTTTTTTCCATCAAATGCTTCACATTCATGGCATGTTGTCCTTGGCTCATCTTGGTGCATGCCATTTTGATGAAGTCCAAACAAAGCAACGCATTTATTTTTTTAAAATCTTTTTAAATCTCTGTATCCTGAATAATTTCTAATGACTCAAATAAATAATTGTCTCTTAAATAGTTACAAGCAATACCATGCTGCTAATTAATATATATTTTGGGTTGATAGATAGATAGACTTGTTCTATAATATTCTAAAATGCTCTTGTTGTATTTTAGAGTCGAGATGGAAAAAGCCCTCTTCACATGACGGCTGTACATGGACGATTCACCCGCTCACAGACCCTCATTCAAAGTGGTGAGAATGGATAGTTTAAAAGACAAAATCAATACTATTTAAAAATATGAAAATGACTGTATTGATTACCTTTTACCATAGGTGGGGAGATTGACAGTGTGGATAAAGATGGTAACACGCCTCTACATATCGCAGCCCGTTTTGGACACGAACTCCTGATCAACACGCTGATAACAAGTGGAGCAGACTGCACAAGGTTGGGTTGGTCACTGAAAAATGCTACAGGCATACCATTGTTATTGGTAAATAAAACTTTCATGTCTGCTCTCTAAAGGCGAGGAATCCATGGCATGTTTCCTCTTCATCTGGCCGCCCTGAACGCACACTCAGACTGCTGCCGGAAACTTCTGTCCTCAGGTAGCACACTAACTAGAGATAGAATAGATTATGTAATCTGTAGATTAATACAGTTACACATAATTGATTTACAAGGTAGCTGAAAAGGTTTTGTAGTTCAACTGAATATTGCACAAATATATTTTATACTAAAATTATTTAATTTGAATTGAATTGAATGTATATGTTATGTATATGTTATTGCTGGTGAAATAGTTTATTCTGCATACTTGATACTTTTTCACACTTTTTGCTTTGTTGTTTCTCTTGTAATAGATAGTTTGACATTTCCATGCAAGGTTGAAGAATTTAATACGTATATTTAGAGTTGGCAGTGGTTCACATAAAAGATTCAAAGAACATTTCCTGTAGAGCCATAAAAATGTGACCCAGAGGTCTACATCAACATTTTTTATCAACTCTGAACAAAGGCATGTCTAGACCAATTATACACAATATAATTATATGCAGAATGTATTAGTGCTAGTAGTTAGTGATAGCTTAGCTTAAGTGACTGATTGTACACTTTCAGGATCTGCTAGATTTTATTTTAAACTTGTTTTGAGTCACTTGTTGCTTGTATTTAACACCGCCCTGCAGCTTGATGTTCAAGAGAGGATGGAGCTCAGTTGTTTTTCTGGTTCCCAGTGGTGAATTCCTCCAACAGCAAATGCATTCAGCTGAGGCCAAATTCAAGTCACACTGTCCCAGAAACAGACAAGGCCTTAGTTAGAGTAATTACCCATTCGACCGGTCTCTCTCAGCTCCAGTTAAGATGATACTTGAGTTTGGCTGAAAAATACTATGAGAAATATGAAATACTGTAGTAGTGAGATGATATGAAATACTGCAGAAGTTCTAAGATTGCTTTTGTAATTACAAATGTTGGCTATGGACATTTTGGATCCAGGAAGATTATGGCAAAAGATATTAACATCGCTGATTAAAAGAACTGTTGATAGGAGTATCATATTATTTAACATTGCAAGATTCAACCAGTTGCTTGATATAGTTGTTCTTCCCAAGTTGTTCTTGTTATTTTTATTAATACTATGTACATATATTATCACTTACCAGCCTACTCCTAAATTGTGTGCACGTATAAGTAGTCCAAGTTGAATTTAGTAGAGCAGAGTCTGATCTCTGTCTGCCTGGAGGGCCGGGGGAACTGTGCACTGCTGAGCTGTTGTAACCAGAAACAAAGAAGTCCTTTACATGCTTGCAGCTGCAGCGTCTGGACCGAATGTTGTGATCACTGGAGACTGCCTTTTGTATTTTGTTCACAGCTAATTTGTGAGTTGAAAGTCCCCATCCCTTTGCTATGAATCCCAAAAAGCCAGTAAGAGATATGCCTTGTGTGTGTTAAGGTTTTATTGGACATTTAATAGGTGCACAAGTGTAGCCTGGAGGCGTAGTGTCTGAGGTGCAACTGTGTGTTTTGAATACAAGCTCATGTGCTGACTGCTGCTCCCTGTGTGTCCTGATTCAGCACATAAGAACCACACTGAAACTCTTTGTTGTATTTGCATTGTATTTAGTTTCAAGATAACTCTACATTTTAATCTTTTAAGTAGCAGTGTGGACTAACTGCCAAAAAAGACTCATGATCGATTGAATTTAAGGTCACACAGACACTTGTTGGTAATAATTATATTTGTAATAGTAGTATTTATAATTAAAGTAGTATTCTGTTACTGGGTTAGGTAAGGCTCACACCTTTTGTTTTGGGATTGAGGTGTGTCTCTGCTCATTTGTCAGTTCATAAAGTACATAATGCAGTTTTGTTTAAAAACAATCAATCAGCATAGCTACAAACATAAACACTGTATACAAATGTTATAAAATGTAATTATCCACATGTGCTGTGAAAGCTATCACAGCTGGTTATACCATTCAGAACAAGGTTAAACATAATGAAAAATTTATTAAAACTATCCAGTTTTTAGTGAGCAATCATTTGTTCAGTGTTTTGTAATGTATTTAAGTGCCTTTACCGACACAGCCTTACAGTTACTGACAAGATTTGAATCTTTACATGGAGTTTTTTCTAGATTAGAGAACAAATATCATGATATAATGCGTTTTATTATAAGCAGTTTTAAGTGTGAACCTGGTCTGTGCTCTCCTCTTCCTCTCGTCTTAATGGATGGTTGTGGTTATCTTTGTGTAGTGTGTACTGTGTATGTTCTTGTGTACTCATGGCCTTGTGATTGAACTGTCACCTGACCTTCACTGTCCAGTGTTACACTAACTCCTGTCTGTCTCTCTCCCTCCCTCTCCCTCTTCTCTCTCATGCTCTCCCTCCTGCCTGTCCTGTCTCTTCCTCTGTGGCTGCTGCTGTGTGTTGTGGTGTGGCCTCCTGTCGTCTCCCTGCGCTGCCCTCTTCAGGTCGGAGGTTTAGCATTTTGTGTAACGACTCGGTCCTGTCTGCAGGCTTCCAGATTGACACCCCGGACACTCTGGGCAGGACGTGTCTGCACGCTGCTGCTGCTGGAGGGTGAGCACCCAAAGGAGCATTTTACTGTTTTTTTTGTCTTTTAGACATATCTTTCATTTAACCCTGATTTCTCTGTAGTAATGTGGACTGTGTGAAGCTGCTTCTGAGCAGTGGTGGGGAACACAACAGGAAGGATAACTGTGGAAGGTATGACTTTATTTTAATTTGAAAATATACTTTGTGCATATGGACCTGGATTGACAATGTCCTTGTATTCACCAAACAAAGCAATTTTATACTAGCAACTTGTGGCTGGAGTTGAGTTGGTAATGGAGGGTTGCAGACAGTTGAATAGCCCTATATTATAATGTGAACCTTGCTGAAGTGTAATTAAAATCTTACTTATTTCTTTCTCAAGCCAGATAAACAAAGGAATTTGCCTGACAAAGTCAACCAAAAAAGTTATTAATTACTTAAAGGTGCACTATGTACATTTTTGGTTGGGGATCAGTCACCTTTTTGTTTCTATGTGTATGTCATTGCTCTGCTTTGCATGTTCCTGTTGTCATATTGCACATTAAACAGATCTACCTTACAGGTATTCAATCACATGAGGTTTTATTCCTCAGAAATATCTAAATACCTCGGACTGTAAGCGGGGTCGCTTCTCCACAGATCTGACCAGTAGCTTGCCTGATTTGGTCTCCATGAAGATAGAAAGGTTTAATGCCATACTGTGAAGCATTTCGTATACAAAGCAATAACATCTCCATGGAGAAAAGCAGGTGGCAGAAACACCATGAGAAAAGCTACACAATACACCTTTTTACAAACCTGCCCTCTGCATGTTATATATTTTACTATTATATTTTATTATATCAAGTGGTTTTGCTTGGTGAGAATATACTATATACTGTACAGTATTATATCTGCAGCTTGATTTCATACAGTTTTGCTTGTCTGCCTCAGGACCCCTCTCCATTATGCAGCTGCCAGTCGTCATTACCAGTGCCTGGAGACACTAGTAGCCTGTGGCACTGCCATCAATGCCACGGACAAGTGGGGACGCTCTGCTTTGCACTATGCTGCTGCCTCCGACCTCGACAGGAGGTAAAGACTTTAAAAAACAAACTCTTCTCCTCATCTTTTCTCCTAGTGCTGCACTGAATTGTGTGCCCCCTGCGTATAGAAACTAGATGATCCACACCTCACAGTTTCTATGGTAACAGGGGTCATACACAGTTCAAGCTTTAATACAATATGTATGGCCTCCAGCATCCAGTGGTTACCTCACTTGTTGGCAGACGGCGGTGCCAGGCTGTGAAATGCGGTTTTGTTTGAAAGTGTTAATTCTTTCATCTCCAGTTCTGCCCTGTGTGCTTGTCTCTTTACAGGCGTCGAGTTGCTCTGGAGCCTGAGAGTGAAGGAGTACAGGCAGAGAAAGAGAAAGAAGCAGCCCTGTGAGTGTCCCAGAGGCTTACATGTTACAGAGTTAAACAAGTGGTTCCCAGTAGGTGGGTTAGGGTTCAAAAGTAGGTCATCGGGTAGTATAGCAGTTTTAATGTTCATTTTAATGCCTTGTAATTGCATAATATTACATAAATGGTTACATAAATTAACACACTTAATGATACAAAACAATTTAAATACCAGACTTTATAAGAGTGATGTCATGTTTATTGGATTGTTACTTTTACTGCAATAACACAAACAGCAAGCACTTTTGTTTAGAACTGTCCATAAATACACAGGTTCCACAGGAATACACTACACTGATAGTAACAAACCATAAATGATGACACACATGGAAACTTAAAGAATTATATAAGGTACATTTACCCTGGTTTGGTTCTATTTTGGAGCCAGTTTAGTATTGCTGTAGACTGGGGTTGATACTGTTCTAGTCCTGCAAGTTTAGTTTTGGGTTCAGTTTCAGTTTTTCCAAATGTAGATACATTGTGTGTGGCTGTATGAATAGAAATTTGCATCAGACAAAATACTTACTAGTAAACGTAATTTAAATTTGTAGTGTCTTGTTTTGTAGATGTTTGTACTATTTGGGAACTTACTGAGTGGAGTTATTTTCTTGTTGCAGATGTTTAGAGTTTCTGCTGCAGAGTGGAGCCACAGCTTCTCTCAAAGACAAACAGGGCTACAGTCCAGTCCACTACGCTGCTGCCTACGGACACCGGCACTGTCTCAAACTAGTGCGTTCCAAAACATTATCAGAGCATTGAATGCAACGCACAATTAATTTTTAATCTTGCTGTGACTTTGCAGTTGCTGGATAGAGATGATAGTTTCCAAAATCCAGAATCTCCAAATGCTAGAAGTCCTCTACACCTGGCCGTAAGTTAGCCTCATTGATCAAAACATATGATTTTGTATTAACTCAGTTTAATCTCAAACACTTTCAAGCTGATTTTAAATACTGCACAATCATGGTGACATACATAGTTGTTTGTCTGTAGGCATACCATGGTCATGCGCAGGCGTTGGAGGTGCTATTGCAGGGGGAGAGGGAAGTGGACCAGAGGGATGAAGCAGGCAGGACCCCTCTGGCTTTGGCTGCACTCAGGGGCCACACAGACTGCGTTCACACCCTCCTCAGCCAGGGGGCGTCACCGAGCACCACCGACAAACAGTACGGACGCACATCTGTCCATCTGGCAGGTAAGGAGTTGGACATGGATGATCTGAAGTAAATGTAAAGGCCCAGAAAGTACCAAGTTGATTAATTATGTTGCACTATCCAGAGAAATTTAGTATGGAGTGGTAATTAAACTCCAAATAATAATTACAGTATAAAACATAGCAAGAAGTTGTCTCAAATGAAACACAAATATGCAGATTTGTTTATGTACAAGTGAACTAAAATGTATACATGCAAGTGTGGCAAGAATTTTAAACCTACATTGCTTATATGAATGGATTAGTAATTAGAATTTTTTGAAGATATTAAAGTGGAACTGTGCACCCATGCTTGAAATTTAGTGGCCGTTGGTGGCAGCATGCATTCAGTTTTAGACCACAAATCTTGCAAATGTGTCTAGTATGCACAAAAACAGACTAAGAACGGCAGACAATTAAAAGACCATCTGCATGATTTAGTGGCAAAAAAGTTCTATTAGTGTTTAGTCCTTCTTTAAGTATGCTATGTTGTTGCCAGTGCAGGTACACGTTTTCACCAAATGCTTCTACGAGTGAATTTGTATTAAATCTTTCCCAGTCTGTGCTCACCAGGTCTGTGTGTCATCTAACACACTATTAATAAACATCTGTGACATTTTGTTTCTTCACCTCTAGTAATGAATGGCCATACAACTTGTGTGCGCCTCCTGCTGGATGAACCAGACGGTGCAGATCTAGTAGATGCCCCTGATACTCAAGGACAGTAAGTAATTTTGTGTGTGCTTTCTTTTTTTGCCTTTAATTCCTGCTGTTTGTGTGATTATAACTGTGCCTGAACTTTTGACAGAACTCCTCTGATGCTGGCTGTAGCAGGAGGTCATGTTGACGCTGTCTCTTTGTTGTTGGAGAGAGAAGCAAATGTAAATATGGCGGATAACCATGGCCTCACAGCTCTTCATTTAGGGGTAAAAAAAAGTTTTTTTACACATATTTTAATAAGACCAACATGTAGTTCTGTTGCTATAAAAACTGAGAAGATGTAATTAATTGTTGAAGAAAAATTGCAATAAATATTACATTTAAAGAAAGCTTTACTCGCTAAAGCATAATAATCCTAAAAAAAACTTTTATTAATGAACCTTTTTTTAATTAATTAGCCCAGTGAAACACAATGTACTTGGGTTTGTAGTATTGTTAATGAGTCATATGTAAGTTATTCAACCCTCTATGACTCAAATATACAAATATACAATTTACAAATATACTAAAATAACAGTTCTCTTATAGGAAAATAAAATGGCAAAATAAATATTCGTTCATCCCTATTTATTTAATGATAAGTCAATATAGTTGTGAACGACCAACCAAGATCTAATAATAATTTAGTAATTTTCTTTTTGTGTCAGCTGCTGTGTGGTCAGGAGGAGTGCATCCAGTGTCTGTTGGAGCAGGAGGCCTCAGTCCTCATCGGAGACTCTAAAGGTCGCACTCCCATCCACCTGGCTGCAGCGCGGGGACACGCTTCCTGGCTCAGTGAGCTGCTCAGTATGGCCTGCTCCGAGCCCTCCTCCCTCCCACCTCTCAGAGACCTCCATGGGTACACACCACTGCACTGGGCCTGTTACTACGGTGAGGGCAGTTTGGATCAAATTTTCTCATATGTTTCAACCACAGTGTCCATACCACAGACATATATAAAGACGTGAACTAAGGGAGTGTGACGTCACCCATAGCATTCGGCTCCAGTCAAATGAAGCTCACAAGGCTAGCAGTTATGAGGCAAATTTGGAGCCAAGTTCCATATTAAAAATAGTAATTGGTTTACAGAGAAAATAGAAAAGAGCAGCATTCTAAGGGGGTAATATAATACAAATATTTCAAGACCCAAATGAGGAGTCTGACAGTAGCAGTTACAGACAGAAGTTTTTTAAATACAAAGTGAATTGGAGCCTGAGTTGATGGAGCCGGAAGCGCACCCATACTCACTTCCTATTTGAAACCTGGTGACTAGCAAGTTAACTATGTCCATTTATATATTCATTGTATGGGATAACCCTGTATTCTCTAAATGGGGGATTTAATCAGCATTTGGTGGTACAAACAGCATAATACAATGAAAGAATTGATTGCAGTTTTCAAAATAATTGTATGTGGATTACTTTGCAGTTCTAGTGTTTGTTTAGAGTCAATTAATTCTAGTTTATTATTTTCTCTGTACTGTAATTATAAACTATTAAGCTGTAATTATAACTGCCTGTCTAATTTCCAGGCCCTCCGCAGCTGGACATATCTCAGATTTTTCCCTGTCATTCCATTCTCATTTAGTCACAGGTCAGAAAGATGATTTTTTTTTTTTCCCCCCCTTGTTCTCAGGTCATGAGGGGTGTGTGGAGGTTCTTTTAGAGCAGAAAGGCTGCCGTTGTATTGATGGAAATCCTTTTACACCTTTGCACTGCGCTGTGTAAGTTATTTTATTATATTATATCAATCTCTTGCAAACTGCTTCTGATAAGTTTGAATATTATAATGTTGTTTCCTCATCACAAACATGACTGGAGTTGTGTTTTGTTTCATTCACACATGTTTAACACACAAACTCTGCATATTTAGGCTCAGTTCTGCTCTCAAACAGTTCCACCTTGTGATGTGACATAGTAATTCAGAAAGTGCTCCACTGTGTTTTTAGATAGATAGATAGATAGATAGATACATACATACATACATACATACATACATACATACATACATACATACATACATACATACATACATACATACGGAAATTCAGGTGTCCATATAGCTCACATTCACACATTTCATCACACACTAAAACAGTAAAAAAAATGTATAAAAGGCAATAAATAGTCATTCAAATCTGTGAAGGGTGAATGTAGTTTGGGACCTGGGGCTTTACCTGGGTACACGCTTTTTAAGCTCTGTCCTCACAAGGTGGAACAGAGCATTTTGAGCTTTGAAAATGTAGACATTAATTTTTTTCATTTGATTTTATCTTGTTTGAGCAACATGTCTGTATAAGGAACATTACAAACACAAGGATATTTACATGTACATACAGTATGTTGGGACCATTTCAGACAGACTAATAATAAGGATTACTCATGTTTGGATGAAACAAAACACCACTCTAGGTATGTTTTTGATTAGGTAACAACATTATAAACTGACTTAAAACTCACAAGAGTCAATTTGGCGTAAAATAGGAACTTACACATTACACTTTTTTTTAAAACAGAGTAAATGACCATGAACCTTGTGCATCACTGCTGCTTGAGGCAATGGGGTCAGACATAGCAGGCTGCAAAGATGCTAAAGACAGGTGAATTTTAGTTTTATAATTCAAATATTTAATTACAAGAACAGTAAGTTGCTACTGGATTGTGTGAGATTCAAAATGTTCTACCTTCACTTCCTCTCCTCTGTCTGTAGGACTCCTCTTCATGCTGCAGCTTTCTCTGGTCATGTAGAGTGTGTTCAGCTGCTGCTTTCCCATGATGCACCCGTGGACGCAGTAGATCAGTCTGGGCGGACGGCTCTGATGATGGCTGCGGACAAGGGAAGAGTCGGGGCTCTAGGTGTGTACAAATTATAGATGTGGACAGTTTGGGTTTAATTTGAATAGTATTGCAAATTTATTTTCAATTTTGGTCCTTTTTATTATTACAGAGGTGCTGTTGGCCAGTGCCAATGCAAATCTTAACCTCACAGACAAAGACGGCAACACTGCACTGCATCTGGCTTGTGGTAGTGTAAGTGGCTTAAGAGTTTTATGTAAAGTTTAATTTAATGTTGTTATGATTTTATTTTGCTTTATTTACATGAGTTATTGTTACAGGGGAAGGAAGACTGTGTTATGTTGCTTCTTGAAAAGCTCCCTGATTCAACACTCATTAATGCAACCAACTCTGCACTGCAAACGTGAGTATGTCCAAGACTCTCAAAAAAATTGGTGTAGTTTGTCTCAGTCCAAATCTATTTTGTTTTATTTTTACGTATTGATTTAATTTCAATTTGTTGCCCCAGTCCTCTGCATCTGGCTGCTCGCAGTGGTCTGAAGCAAGCTGTCCAGGAGCTGCTGTCCAGAGGGGCCAATGTACAGACAGTCGATGAGAACGGTAGGATCTACATGATTTATCCTAGAATGTGATGATGCCATACTCCCAGATGGGGGGCAACAAGAGTCAAATTTTCCTATTGACTACATTGTACTTAATTTAACTTGATCATTTCTGTTATTGACTGAAGCCTGGAACCATATTTCAACAAACATTAATTTTGGCTGCCCTCCATCTGTATTAAATATTATTTGCTCATAAAATGTTGTGATGTCATCTGAAACTTAGCAATAGAGCCACAGCATATGCATCAATGTGAATGAACTGTGTTGCAGCATGTGTTTAGCTTGATCAGGGTTCCCACTGAAAACAATCCCAACTTTAGACTTATTTGTCAAATTTTGTTTTTTAATTTTTGATTAATTTGGCAACTGATTATTAAGAGTTATACAGTGGAAATCTTGAACTGTAAAGCTTTTTTTTGTTGCTTGCTGTTTGTTTAATTCTGAATGCACATATTTTTAGACATGAGCTGTGGTCGCTCTGTGCACAGTGTGCCCCTATGTGAGTATTTATGTTGCAGAAATGCTGAAACTAATTGAATGCTGCTCCGCCCCTCCTCTGTCTGTTTTTGCTTTGCCCTCCTGCTTCCTCCATGCCCATGTCTGCTCCCACCTTGTCCCGCCCCCTGTCCGTTTCTTCTGTCTCTGCCTCAGGTTTGACCCCTGCTCTGGCTTGTGCTCCTAGCAGAGAGGTGGCTGATTGTCTGGCTCTCATTCTGGCTACCATGATGCCTTTCTGCTCCCCTTGCAGCTCCGGGGCTCCCTCTCCAGGTGCCCTCCTGAGACAGCTGCCCCCTCACGGAGCTAAAGCCCCCCCCACCCTCACCCCTGCTGCTGCTGCCTGTGCTCGGGGTCAGCGCAGCCCCAGGAACCCTTCGGGACCATCCAGCGAAGGAACCACTGAGAATGACTCAGAGGATTCGGAGACTTTCTGACCCTCCTCCCTGCTACCTCACACACAATTTAGACTTTTTCAATTTCTCCCACTGAGGAGCAACAGTGTTTTAGAGGCAGAGGGTTTGACATGGCATCTGTATCTTCTGCTCCAGTGATTTTTGTTCTTTTTAACCTGACCCCTGTGGTCCCCTGTACTGATCAGAATAACACAGGGTCTGCATGCTCGCTCTCACCCCACCACGTCTTCTCTGCTCACGGGTGCTTCAATCCAAAACAACCTCGGTACATCTGTCTTAAGCCATTTTTATCTGTTTGTATAATTATGTAGAATAATAGGGAACTGCAGTGTAAATCTAATCTTTTTTATTATTAATGTTGTCATACCAAATATTTAACTACCTACGGCAGATAAAAAGCTTGGCATGGTGATACAGTATGCATCTTACTTTTAACAGCAACTACTGTAAGAAAAACAAAAGTTCTGCTCTCCAGCCAGAAATCCTTTTGTGTTGCTATTAATACTTTTTTTATTTTTATTTACACGTACATAAAATGTAATGTTCCCTCCTACATTTGTTATAACTGTATATAAACAAAATTGCCTAAACAGGGTAGGTACTGCAAGTCACCTAAAGAGGTACTTGGAAAACAAAAAATTAAATTAAAAAAATATTTCTGGAACATGCTGAGATTAAAATAATGTCACTTTGTGACTGATTGGCTTTTTGCACTTGTTTGGACAAAGGTAGCCAGGGTTTTACCATTTGGGCAGCTCCGGATGTCATGCAAGTCTTATCAAGTCAATGAACAAACACCTTAAGATGCCATTATTAATGTAGTTATTTATTATTCAAGTCTTGAAGGTACAAATACTGCCAGCACTTAAATGTTCAGGAGCACAGGGCCTCCTCCAGTCCTCACCGTGTCTACCTACCAGCTATGTGCCATTGTCTCAATCATTTTCAGTGCCTTGTTAAATTGTTCTTATTTTAAAGCATATAGGATTATGGATTTCAAAAGTACACCTTAAAGAGGCAGTTGACCCCAATTGGCATGCCAAAACACTTATTTTAGCATTTTAATTAATTTAAGGAATGTTAATTAATTAATTATTAATTAATTTTGTATTTCTTCATTTTGCATCATCATCGATAACTGCACAGCCAGTTAGTCACTTGTGTTCGGTTTTATATACAGTTTAAGATGACACCCAGCAGCTGTCTAGCTTAGTTAATTTGAATTTAAGATATGAAAAGTACTTCAAGCTAAAGAAGCTATGGCTCCCCACACAGTATATTAAACCAAAAGTGAACCTAAGTTTCACAAGATGATGTGAAAGCACTGAACTGCCTCTTGTAGAAGACAATATCTTAATTCCTTAAATTCTTCCTTAGGGACCATGCACATATTTTCTATCCTTAAGCCTAAGTCTTTTATTTATTGACTTAGTACATATTACCAAATTAATTCAATACTGCGATGAGTGTGATAGAACATGCAGAATATTGTTGGTTTTGTCTTACAAACTAAATGGTTTTGTATATTGTTGAAAGAATGGTTTATTAGGTACTTACATGAATTGCTTACATGTTTTTGTATATATCCTTGATCTGAATCTTTGTATGAATAAAAAATTAAAAAAACTACTCACTGAAAACTTAGCACAATGTGGACATCTCTTGTTCACTGCCAATGTGGAGATGTCCTTTAAAAGCACACACTGTATTGAAAGCACAGTCTTCTCCTGCCTCTTTCTCCCCAAACTGAACTTCTGCCATTACCCAGAATGCACCACTCCTGACAATCGTTGTTGTCATGTCTGATGATTGTCAAACCAGTTCCTGATGCAGTAAGACGCTGAAGGCTGTTTGTCAGCTACACTTGTTTTTTTTATATAAATTGTACCATTTCAAAATCCATGTGTGTTTTCTTATTTGCATCCTTTATACAGTACAGTAAAAAAAATAAAAATAAATCACTGGGGGCTATACAGTTTTGTGTTAATAATATTTTAATAGTTAACATATTACATAGACTCTGTATATTTACATAACATAATTACACATTAGTTCATGGACCACAGAACATTTGTCACCAGTGCTTCTTCCTTTTGATCCACATGAAAAACCAAAATGTGGCACAGATTAAAAACAATTATTTGTAATACTGTATAATATTAAACGTAAAAAAACAGTTCAAATAATTCCATTGCAGCTCTTGTGGAATGTTTCTGTCTGCGTTTAGTCAAGTTTTAATCTAAGATGAATCCAGTGTGGTGGTTCCTCAGCCTTGTACTCTGCATAGAAAGTCTATTGGGAGTGTCTGTTTGTAGTCCATAGTATTGCACTGGGATGCCGTTGCTGCCAGCTCTCAGCAGTTTATGCCCAGGCCAGTCCAGTGGTCTGGTACCATCAGGAAGTACTTGTCCATGGCCTCACAAAACCTCGCTCGATACAGCTCTGGGGACACTACTGTGGGCATCTTTCCTGTAGACACGTAATATTAAACAGATATATTTAAACAGCACAGAGAAAGCAATTATGGTGCTCATTATGACCAACATTCTCTGGAAGTGTGAAGCTAACTGTAGACACGGCTCTGTCTGTAGCTCTGTCAAATTAGACTAATCTGATCTTTATTTTAACACAATCTGACCATTAAGAACGGATTTAGTTGGAACTAGAAGAGGTGAGATAATTTGTATTGTTAATAAAGTCTCTCACACATAAAATTATAGTCACAAGCTAGCTAGCACTAGTCAACAGTTTTTCAGTTAGTCACTCACATTTTACTGAAAATCAAAAACCCATACGATCATGAACACTCATACTGATCACATGCGCCTAAATCCTTTTCGAGTTTTCAGACTATCTTAAAATTTGTTTAAAACTGTGTGTTTTTTTTTGACTGTGCAAATGTGTGCATCTCTGTCTCCATGGTAACTGATGAACATTCAACTACATAGACATACAGGCAGGACACCCCCAGCATGATGTTACTGCAAAGTATCAATAGGAACACTTTTGTATGTAGTGCTAATCTGTGTCATTGATTACACATCCATCCATCCATACACATTTTATAAACAGGACCTTTTCCAAAGTGCTGCACATAACTGATTTAGGAAAATAAAAAAAACAAACATACCTTGACCTCCCATGGATTTCACAACCATCTCCAGCCTCTTATCCCACGTAAATGTCCGAATATAATCTGAAAAATAATCAATCATTTCTTACATCATGATACATTCTTCACAGTTCTCAGTCTACCTTTAACAGCCACAGAAGTTGCCACAATAAAGGTATAAAAGGTCTTTCTGGGTATTTAGTATTAAACTGTAACATACATGGACCATTATTTTACATTTTTCTTATTGTAAACCGCAACATTGTCCCAGAGTTTTAATTTTTTTAATAATTGCATGCATGTACAAAATAGTGCGAGACAGTATGGGTGAAAATATGCAGGGTTACTCAAACAAACATGTATGAATCAATGAAAATAGAATTCTGAGTGAGCCTACACCATTTAACCAGGTTTGGGCCCAGCAAAGAGTAAAAGTCTAGTGATTTATGTAAAATTTGACTAAAATATACATCATTTGGGTGTTAATTCATAAATACCTATGATTCCAACAACCAGCTGGTCCGTGGCATCGTCCCGCCCAACCAAGAGGGAGTAGTCGATGATGAGATGACTGGACAGGAAGTAGGCGTCGCTGTGAATAGCAGCCCGGAGGATGGATTTACAGTGAGAGCGAATATACAGTGGGTTATCATGGATCAGCTTCAGCAGATTCTCGTCCAACAAAACAACCTCACAGCTCTCCTTCCCCGAGTCAGTCTTCACATTACGGTTCCTCAGTGAGCCTTTGAGATCGAATACCTGAGGAAAGCCCAACACTTAGACTTTTTATGCCCAGTTTTGCTTGTTTAAGAAAGTTTTTATTTATTTATTTTTTTACCTGAGCCATCTTCCGTCCATAAAAAAGGTTTTCAATCACTAACAAGTCAAGTTTCTTCTCTGTGTTGTTCTGGGAGTTCTTATACCCAATTCGATAAACGCCCAAAATCTTTGCAAGTGCCGTTGGACGCTGTTGGCGTAATTAATGGCTATTATCAAATACCTCCTCATAACACTTCTAATTATAATTTCTACAACACTGCACACCTTTTGTTGCGTAGCTCCAGTTATGTAGGTGAAGTAATGAGGTGCAAAATCCAAGAAAGACTGAACTTCTAATCTGGGCATTTGTTTCAGGATGAATCGCTCATCTAAAACAAAACAAAAATAAAAAGCAGTTATAGATAAAAATACATCAATGACCGTAAATTTTGTGTAGTAGCAGTTATGGTATTTCCACCTTCCGTTGCATAAAAAACTGCCCCTGATTTTCCACCACGGGCCTGCCAGTTCACACAGTGTGACAGAGAACGGACAAAATCCTCCTCGGAGCTTTCCATGATGACTTCTCGCATCTTGTGGAACTCTTCGGCGTAATATATCCGGCAGTAAAACTTGGCATTGGCATCAGAGAATTCTGGACAACGAACAAGCATTATAGATTACAAAACCCTTCAAACCTCAACAGAATTTAAGGTTTAAGATTTAATGTATAAATGATTAAACTAAAACACTTACGCAGCTCAATGTGAGGATTTGAAGTTTGTTTCTTCTGCTTGTCTGACAGGTCTGCATCTTCTGCACAAAAAAATTTCACAGCGATATTTTAGAAACAAAGAGTATTGTCAAGGAGATTTTTGGAGAACGTACTTAGTGGATCTGTATCGATAGAGCTGCGACTCTGCTGGGATGAGGCAGAATCATTGGGCCTCGCTGGACTGCTCTTTGCTTTCTCTCCAGCACTACTGAAAATGAAATATAAAGATTGACTAACAGTGTGTGTACCATTGAACTGATACTAAAACAGAGCTGGGCTATATGACAGTGCCATGTAACCCAAAAGGAAGTCAGATGTTTTGCTTCATACATTGTATGTTGAAAGTGACCGTGTACCTGTTGGACTGTGAAGATTCATCTCCCCCTGTGTTAGAAGTCTTCGATAGATCTTCCAGTGCAGTTTTATATTCCTTGCAGCTGAAGGCAATACATAGTATTAGCAATAAGGTGCATAAATAAATGATACAAATGAAGTGATTGGTAAAAGTTATTTACCTCAGTGCAAAGGCAATAATTGAACTGGGTTCTTTCTCACACACTGCTATGGGAACTCGCTCATGTTCATACATAAGATAGTGTTTGTCTGGCTCACTGAAAATACAGGTAAGTGAAATCAGGATTTTCTTCAGGTTCAGTTGCAAATCAGTTCAGAGTTGATGTGTATGCCAATTAAGTCAAATGTACTGATATTCAAATAGAAGAAGTTTTCATACAATGGAAGTGGAATCGGGTTGTAGCTGTTGCCAGGGAGGAAGTTTGCCAAGATGGCCTTCATTGTCGATTTCTCTTTGACTTGACTGTCAGTGGAGCCCAGTAAGTGCCCATCGAACACATCTGAACAACATAAACAAAACAATCTTATATCGGCAAAGAACTGATTAACTTAATACACATACATTAGGAAAAGGGTTCATATCTGTACCTTCAGGGATGCTAACAGAGTCTGGCTCTGTGGAAGAAGGAGCAGGAGTGACTGGCTCAGTGTTGGGATCTCCAGGAGAGGGCAGCACTGATGAAGAGGAGCCAGAGGGCATCGGAGTCAGGTAGCGGTCCTCTGAAAATATCACATCAGTCAGTCTTTATAATAAGTAATAGAGATATGGAAGGCCAGTACTGAATATGAGAAAAATGTATTGAAAAAAAATCCAAACTCTTACTCTTGTCTTATCTATAAATTAATATTATTAGTTAAAGAGACTGGATTTCATCTTATTTGTCAATACTTACCCTTTTCCCCATTCTGCACCACCGGGGATGGATTTCGAGGAGAGGAGTCCACAGCACCCTATAAAATAAACAAATACAGTACATTTTAAAAACTTACTTGGACTTGAGTGTGACCAGAGTGATAGCTGAATATGCTAAAAGTTGATGCTGTGTGAAAGATCTCTCAGAAATAAAACTATTTGCAATTCAAAATTCACAGATGAACATAAACTAAACAAAAATTAAAACTTCCACTAACCTTACTGTCATCCGCTGTGGTCTGTCTGTGCCTGCCTGGACTTGGAGGGACAGATAAGCGTTTTCTGCCCTTCTCCTGCTGAAATAAGTCCTGGAGCCTAACAGGGTTTGTATAGATTAGTAAGCAGTATAAACAACAGTTATAAAAAAAAGCACATTAGTGAGCACTGATTAGGGCTAACCGACTGTTCCAGGACTGTAACATCTCACACAGACTCTGTTTCTTCATCACCAGAGACTCGAGGATGGATTGCAGCTGCTGTGGCGTGTCAGGCCCACACACCTGCATACGAGCCTGGAGCTTTTCAATCCAGCTTCTTAGCTCCGCCTCTTCCATCTATAAAGAAGAATAAAATGATAAAAAATACACCCATACATTAAAAAGAACAGAATGGTGGGATTGTTGGCGGGTCTTTATATGTCTGTAGCTTGAGGTGTGTGATTTTACTTTGTTCCATAACTTACATCTTTCTGAGCAAACAGGTCCTCCATTTTCTCCTCCCGTGTTTTACTGAAAGTGTCGGTCTTAAGGGATGTGAGCCTGTCGTCAATAGCCAAGTACACCTGACCGATCCTGAGAGAAATGTGAACAATGAACAAATGCAAAGGAAACTAAATACTGAAAACTGCGTATCTACTTTGTACATACTTTAGAGAGAAGTCCTTAAGGTCTTGCTGGAGGTTGGTTTTGGATGGCCCTTGGTTCCTGATAAAAATCTTGGGACGGGGAAGGCAAATTTCCAATAATCGGACAGGGGTGTAACTGTAATATAAACATGTATTTTAATTTTTGCTATAGCCATATTTAAATATCACAGCATAGAAAGGCAAACCTGAAAGAAGCCACCATCTGATTGTATGAAAAGTACTGGTGGTAATCTTTATGTATAGAGTGTCCACAGGGTTCTGCATTGGCCCTCCTTGTGTACTGATGGCCATAGAAACGCAGCTCCAAGTATTTAGTAAAAGACATCGACCATGAATCATTGGAGAGAGGCACAACTGGAGTGACCTAGACAAAGGAGTAGGACAGGAGGAGGACAATTTCACATAATATAACTGAAGTAAATATCATTATCAATTGAATACATACTTGTTTACAAATACGACACCAAGAATAGTTCAATATAGTATGTTGGTATCCAGGTACAGGAGAGTCCAGCTCTTTTAGCACAATTTGCACACAGCCACTCCCATGCACAAACCGACGAACATGGTGCACCATGGGAGTTTCACAGTACATGCTTGGGCACTGGTAGGAAGGCCTGAAAAGAACCATATGGAAAAAAATACATACAAAACAAGCTGTTAATCATGGTGGTAATTTACATTGTATTATAATGTTATCCAACTCTGTTTTTTTTATTATGGAGTTGGAATTTGTATGGTCTTATATTGTGTTACATTTTAAAATTTAAGTAAATCATTTTGAAGCTTTTCTCACCTAAAACAATACCTCTCCAAAAATACACCAAGAGAAAGATCATTCTTTCCATAAAACTCCATTGTGACAATCCTGTTAACAAAAATACAATTACTTAAAATGTAGATTTGCTTTCAGCACATTGCAATAGTTTCTGAAATTATTAAACTTTACCATGGGCTGACGCAGGGGTTAGGGGCATTGTTGGATTGGGCTGATGAGCTGCTGAAGAGGACACACAGTCTCTGATGGTTGGCAGGGCTCAGACAATCCAGCTGCTAAAGGGAAATCATAAAATTACACAAAATGACTGGCAAAACACATTAACACTTGCAGCTGCCATTGGATGAATACAAGATTAAACCTACTTTAGGAGCCCAGCTTAAGTCATTGGATTTGCTTGGCTTGTCCTCTTCACTGTCTGCTTTGACTGGGCATTTCGCTTCAGCTTTGGTGTGCCCATTGACAGAAGGAATGGCAAACTGGTCGATGTTGTCTCTCTGTCGGATTCGCCCTCCCTTTGCCCTGTAGTCTGCCAGCATCTTGGCAAGGTCCTGACTGGTGCCCAGCTGCTCTGTGATGCGGGTGCTGGTCAGGCTGTGGCTGGGAAGGATGTGCATAGGTTTGACTGAAGCAGAACCGTTGCTAAGGACACTGACACCAGACGATGGAGAGGCCTCTTTGAGCAGTTGTTTCTTTCTGCGACTGTTGAGCTCCTTCAGATCCTTGTTCAGGAGCGGGGATAAGTAGACCTGGAGCACATACAACATAGATAAAATAAGATAATAATAATAAAATAATTATATAACAATATAACTCTTTCAATACATGAAACATATTAAATGGGTTTGAATATTTTTATGGGTCAACATTCTGTTCTGTGTGCTTTACTATTACCACTTTATCGTCACCTAATGAGTCAATATTAAGATGAGATACCATAAAGGCACATTAATAGTGGAATCTTGAAAAAAAAATTGGGGGATTTGTTTTTGATGGCATAAAAATATTAATCGGTGCTTCAGAATCAAAAGTTTGCCAAGTACCTGTTCAGGAAAGTAGTCCCTGCTTGGGCAGTGCATGCCTGGGGGAGTCAGAAGAAACGGCTCTTTGAATGTGATAAAGGGTGAAATGCAGAGTATAATATCCTTTAGCTCCTGTTTGAAAGTTGTGGAAAAGGTTTTCAGACGGTCATCAGAAGATGTCACCTGCTCTGCCACAAACAGCCCTGTATCATCCTGCAGTGGGTCCCTGAACAGTTTGGGAGTCGAAGTCTCTGAAGTTTCTCCATCCTCTAGTGCTCCCCTTTCCTCCTCCCCCGTTCCTCCTTCAGAGGTTCGGATCAAAGTGTCAGAACCCATGTCATGGTCTTCTTCCAGGAGAAAAGGCGGAGACACAAATAAAGGAGGGGCAGGCGGACTCGAAAACGGAGAGGAAGTCCTGACATCTGTGTTTTCTGATAGAGTCAGACAGGGTGAGTTTGCATTCAACTTGCCTGCACTATTGGCCACCTCTGTTACAGCTATGCCCTCTTCTAACTGCCCATCAGCAGACTCCTGAGATCCACTAGTTTTTCTTTCGCTTTCTTGGTGTACCAGTTCTTCCTCCTCTTCTTCCATGGTGGATCCCTCGAGCAGACAAGGGAAGGATGTGCTCGGAGCAACATTTGGAGGCATGGCAAACTCATCCATGAGGAATGAGATCTCCAGCTGTGAGTGGTAGGCTACACACACCATGAACATGATGATCTCCTTCACCCGGGACAACTCATACTCTGAGGCCCCACGGAGTTTGATGGAGCATCCCAGATGGGCGGGGCAACCTTCGAAAAACATCAGGGTCTTTACATCTTCTGCAACAGGGAAACACAATATTTATTTACACATTATTTTCTATTTAAATACTGAAGAAATGTATTGCCTCTACAGTATCCCAAGGCTTACCATTGGGCAGAGTAAAGGGCTGCATGTAAAACTTGTGGCAGGTTCCTAGTCGAGGTTTAGTCAGAAGCTGGTCCATGGACAGGACCAGATCGCCCTGGGTCATACGGCTGACCCTCTCCAACACTTGCTGGACATTATACAGAAAATATATTAAACATTACACTGCAAAATAATTCAATAGGGCAAATTTCTGTAGAGACCCTGTTTTCTATTAGAATGTATATTTTTCAAAGACCTGTCACCAGAAAAGTTACAGAGTACTCCTTTATTTTATTAAATATGAAAGTATGTGTACTCACCGCTTTGACATTGATAACCAAAGTGATGCCATGTTCCAGCAACATGTCCTGTGCTATTCGCGACACCGTCTTCTCCACCAGCACCAGGTTCGGACGCACATCGACTATCCGCTGCACATAGTTCTTCAGGAACTCTTTCTCCTTCAAACAACAACATTAGTTGCAGCTATTGTAATGTGGAAGTGAGAGTGACGCTGTGGTTTACCTGTAGCACTATGGGTTCAATGCAGGTGAACTTGGTCTCTTCCCTGTACAGATACTCTATGGAGCACTTCAATAGCAAGATTTTGGGATTCTTGATGTATGGGTTCATCTGATTGAAGAGAGTAAATTCAGTTAAGCACATCTTGAGGCATATTATCTTTTTGTGTATCTAAAATTGAATTGAACCATATCTTTAATTTATTTAGACACAAGAATCTTTGTTCACCTTTTTATGAGCTATGTTCTTGGTGCACACAAAACCATTCACCATTGTTGAGTCAAACTTTCTTCCTCCAGGAATCTAAGTCACAAATAAAGAAATGTTTTGTATGTAAAATGAATTGGTGCGTGATTATAACTGAATGAAAACATATTTATGTCACATGTCAGTCACATAAAAATATTTCTGAAAATGAGAAAATGATTTAGGAGAATTCACATTGACACTGGTTAACCTTTTTAATGTGAACAAACTGGCGGATATCCATGTCATCGTCACAGTTGCGGACATCGGGGTGAACAGTCTGGACTACCTGCCGCACAACAGGGACTATGATGTCCCGCCAAGATAGAGACAGGGACTCACTGTACAGCAGCTGCTGCAACAGCGCCATCATGTGGCTATGATTGGCTGAACTGAACAGAAATAAGGAAAAATACTGTCACAGAGTTTTCCAAAGGTACATTTTGTATCCATGAAGCTATTTGATAAACATATATTAGAAAAATGTTTACAAAGAAAGGGCAATTTTCTTCACTTACAGCAGCCTCTCCATGGCTTTCTTCTCTCCATTTTCTTCTCGGAGTTGATCCAGTGAACTGTGGTGCCAGCCCAGGGGAGTGAACAGCATTTCTTTTGCCTTCTCCTCCACACGTCGATTGAAGAGAGATTCTTAGAACGATTCAAATGAATTAAGATATGCTTAAATGTAATTACTAGTATGAACACCAGTTTCAAAATTATTTAAAGCTTGAAGACCTGCCCAATTATACCTTGAATGAAGGCATCACTTATGACAATGTTCTGTCCTCCATCCTCAGAAACAAGAAATTCAGCTGCAGCTGCAATATGGAGAAAAGATATGAAGTAAGGCAGAAAGTACAGGGCCATTTTGTTGAATAAAATATAATTAATGAGTCAATATGTGTCAGATTTAATACAATTTGGAAATCATGGTGAATATCATCAAACATTTACAATGGTTAAAAAGGAGTTTAACTCAATAAAGGCACACGCACATACGTAATAAGTGATTATGGATAATACCTTTTTGCTCAGTGGAAACTGGCACATGTGGATATTTAGCCTGTTTCTTGATGTGGAAGTTCACATTGTTTTGTTCCATATTGAGGTTTATGGAGGCAGCAGAATCACTGTCCACCACTGAGTGGAAACTGCTGACCGATGTCCTCTTACTGGGGCTGGCCGAATCTGGACAGGAAGATGAGTCAAAACAAGCGCAAAGAACAGACACTACAAACACAGTAGATTAGATTACACTTAAACAAAGTAGATACATACTAGGCATGGTGTACTCCTCTGCAAGCTGCTCTGTGTCGCTATCATCAAACTTAATATCTTTGAACCAGGATGGCTCAGACTGTCCCTCTATGGAGTTTACACTGTCGCTGTCTGGAGAAGGCGTTTCAGAGAACTCTGTACTCTACACAGCAGACACACCAGAGTCAGCATTTTCTACTTGAATAAATCTATTGTTAGGCTTTTACTGATTGCTAGTGATTAGTACAACTCTCCTGAATCCTAACTGTCTTGCTTTCATCATGTAATGTTTTTCCTACCTGAAGAGGGCGATAGAGAGCATACTCGTCCCGAAACAGCTGGTCATGATGGGTGACACAGTCCAACCATCGACCATCCACCAACGCTTGGCCAATAGCTATTGCCTGAGCTCTACATGCAAAACATAACATGAAATATGAGAAATTATGCATCATAAAAAAGCCAAAGAAAACTGAGCATGTTAGTAATAAAAGTTACCTGGTGGAGATGGTACCATTTCTAAGTAGCCAGTTGACAAGCTCTTTTCCCACAATGCAGTTTGGGTAGGTCCTCAGCCAGTATCTATGATCCTGAAACTCCATGCCAGTGCTGTTGTGGCAGATTTTCTTCCACAATTCCTTAAGCTGAGAGGAGTCCTACAAAGCCATGTAAGAAGCATAAGCTTGAAGAAGCAAAACAAAAATCTAATTGTTATCAGCTACCAACATACCAGTAGGATTTTTCTTTCTTCTTCTTCCCGGTGGTCCATTTTGGAGCCACTTTTGGAGGCAGAGATGGCACGGCTGGGAGGTGGGCTGACTGCACTCTCGTAGGAAGGCCCCATAGTCCCTCCAGAGCGATCAAGAGATAGATTGGTCACACTTGCAGACCTGTTGAATGCACAAATCAAAACTTTGGCTCAGTTTAACTTACTTTGTAGTTCTGGGAAACAGACAGACAGCTGACCTCTTCCTTGCAGGGGATTTTCCAATGTCTTCTTGCAGTGTGGAGAGTCTGGAGTTAAGGCCAGCGTTTTGAGGTTCCTGGTGAAGCATACTGATGTACAAAAATATGAAGCTGTTATACCTGTACATTATAATGCATACACACACACACACACACACTTTTACAATTAAAGAGTGAACAATTGTAACAGAGGATAATAGCACTAGAAAGTGTTAAGCTTAACTTAGACAGCAGCGAATGAAAAACAAATCAAACAGCTAGACTCACGTCTTTCTCATCCCAACAGGAGTTTTTCTATGCCAGGAAAGAGAAGGGAAAAAGAATTTCTTTGAGCACTGGCAGAGAATATAAGCAAGAAGCACAACGATTCAAGTAAAAGTAGCATACATTTGAATGCAAACAGGCGGAAAATACAAAACACATGCACTGTTAAAACAATCCATTCAGCCAATATCATTTCAAAAAGCCAGTTCAATGTTTTTCTTTCACACTGAAAGATATGTTGTTTCACCGTGAAATGTGTGAAGTAGTGAAATACATTCAGTATTATGAAATTTTAAATCAAAACACAGCATCAAACAAACATCACTCAAAATGCTGAAAGTCAAAATAAAAGATGCAATGATAAAGGAAGCACAGCCACAGGATGATCACAGAGAGTAAAGAGCAGCTTCATGAAATTGAAAAGAAAATTCGCAGTCGAGTTTGATTCATTGATGCAGTCTGTTCTGATAGTACCTCTGCCAGGTGGAGTCTTCCTCTAGAAAGATGTTCCTGCTGGCTTTGCGCCCTCCAACAGGAGTGCGAGGCTCGCTGGGCTCCAGCACACTGATGGAGCAGGAGTCTGATAAAACGCTGAGGTCTTCTCCAATGGAGCCAGACTCAGCAGAGTGAGCATAGTTAAGCGCCAGTTTACGACAGTATGTACAGGCACGGAGGTCTCCTGGACATAGAAGAGAAACACATGAAAATGTCGGACTAAAGTTCATGTTAATATTTTAAAACATACCTGTGTATCCCATAAATTTTCCAGGAATTTCTTGATTGCAACAGCGACTGCAGAAGATCTGCCCACACAAACGACAGTGGTGACGCCGACGGAACGTTGTAAACTTCTCATTGCAGTCATAACATTCCTTGCACTGGCTGTCGGGCATCCAGTACTGCTTCAGATCACTGTCCTAAAAGATATCAAGAGGAGACCTGTTAGAGGAAAACTGAACATGTGAAAAGTAACTGATATGATATGGAGTTAGTATTAGAGGCATTGGTTACCTGACTCTTCCCCTCCATTATCTCTTTAAGCCTCTTCAGTGCTGTTCTGAGCTGCACAGCAGTGCGGGGATCATGAGTGCTGAGAGAGGAGTCAGACTTTCTACTGCCATCTAAACACATGAATAGACACACATAATAGCACAAATAACACACAGTTAGTATTTCAAATATTGAACAAATATGATCCTTTGACTGTGTGTTTAAATAAATGTTACAGAGGCACACTTTTGGTACACTGCTCTCTCTTTGTAATAAGAGGTAACAAAAGATAAGAAATTGGAACATATGCAAATTAAAAGTTTCAGTTGAAAACCAAACAGTGAGTTCATGTTAGATTTACAAACATGGCAAACACTATTTAAACTATTAGTACCTTAGTGTAAGATTATGGCAAACCAAATACCTTGGAGTGCAGCTCTACTGAAAAGCAAACGCAAACTTGCACAAGTGCACACACATGCACTCACATCAAGTTAAAGCAAACCTAGACAAAGGTGTGAAACTAAAAGTTACTGTATTTAACTAAACAGTGCAGAGCCCTCACCTGGCCAATCCACTGGAACTAAAAAGACATGAGAACGGTCAACTGTCAGTAAATACAATCCCAATCTTTCAAAATAAAAAAGTATTCACAAGCATGTAGAAAGGACAAAGGCTTTTAGTTCACCACAATTGTTATTTATTTACAAAGAAATAGATATTGCACAGAGCAGTTAAATATTGGGCTTTCCCAGTGATCTGAGATTTGTTTTTTGAACATCATTCTGTATCTTGATTTCTTTTATGCTGTTGAGAATTTAAAATTGTGTGTATACAGAATACACGGATTAAAGTAATGAATCTACAGACTTATAAAGACATTTTAGGAATGTAAAGATAACTTGTGGATAATTGAGGGGATGAAATCAATTTCTCTTCAGATATTTCAAGCCTCTAATCTATGGCTCACATAAGTATGTTGACAAGATGTTTATGTAACTAGATGTATATGTGTTGAATTATATAGACACCAATAGTGTAATTTCCCCCAAAATAAATCTAAGCTTAAAGCTGGAATTTATTGATGTCTAAACTGACAACTGAACTGAAATTGCATTAGGGATTTGTCTTATGTCAACAGCAATGACACATCCTTGGAAAAGATAGAACTAAAAATATATATTAAAAAAAATACCATAAAGCATGAAATAGCTGTTACCTGAGGCGGTGGAGGTGCGTCGGAGATGGTCAGAGCGCTGTTTCCGGTTGGACCTGGATCCATGTCCTGAGAGGGAAGGACTGACAGACCAGCTCCTCCTCTCAGAATGAGAGGAAGGTGACGGCACATCTGCTTTTTCTGCAACAGAGGAGGGAGGCCGCCCCTCCTCTGAACAAACACATGGAGCTGCATTAACATAGTTGTACTGCTTGGGAATGACAATATAAAAACAACCAGTACATGCTGACAGATTTGTAATGCATATATTCATGCAAAGCAAGTGTTCATAATAACTGTGATATTGTGCATTGGTATTGGAAAGTATAGTTTTTCTTTTTTCTTTTTTTTTTTGTTCTAACAATCCTGTGTGGGAAGCATTACTTGGTGTCCAGTGAAAGCATTTGAAGAACTTGTACTGCAATATGTATAATCAATGTTTTTTGTTTGTTTGTTTGTTTGTTTTTAAATCAAACACAATATTTTGTTGAGCTGCTTTTTAAAGTGCAGATGTAAAAATTGGAATACAAGCGTAAAGACTTTAAAGGCAAACAGCATGTGTGTCATGTGGCTCTGGGGTAATAGCCCTGATCCAAGCAGGCGGCCTCTATCAGCTGACCACACAAGACTGCAGATAATTAGCTTGACTGGTGCTATAGTGAAAGCAAAAGGTATAGACTACTGTACATAAAATAATTTCTACTCCTGGAATTACTCTGCATTGTAGTCTACTCCATAGCAATTAGTAATCCTGACCTTTGTTACTGAATCGAAACAAGTTGACAAATGAGCTGTATGCAGATCGGAGGGGAGGCTCGTCCTGCTCCGGTGTCAGAGGTTTAAATTGTGTCAGATGTGAAGGGCTGGTGGGAGAGAGGACAGGCGGGTCAATGCTCCAGTCTGTTGAGGATGAAGACGACGATTTGTCATCTGCTGCCATGTCATATACCCTCCTGAAGAAGAAGAAGAAAGAAAAAAGAAGAAGAAAAACGTATATGTGTTATACATTTGCTATAACACAGATATAGACTACAACATAAAATGTATATTTGTTATCCCATGGGCTTTGCTTCTAGAGGTTGCAAATAGTTACAAAATAAAGAGAAAAAGAAAACAGCAAACTCCTGAGGTGTTTATTTTCGCTTTACATAATAAACCCAAATAGTATCTTTACAATGGCTTATAAACAATCATAATGTTGAACTCCCACTCTTGACTTGCAACTGCCACATGCTAAGTAACTGCTAAAGTCTAGTTGCCTGGACGAATCCAGACTCATCGCTGTACCAGCGGCTGATACAGAGAAATATCCTTCTGGATTTCCAGGCAAAAAGTCTAGAGCTCTATAATCGACATTTCGAGTTTATAAATGTGGCTAGTGGGTTAGCTATCAGCATGATTTTAAATACTCAAGAATCTTAGCATGATTTCAACAGGTTTGGACTGTATCACGAGTGCCCTTAGATCATAATGTAAAGGAAACAAAAAGGCAGAAGCAGCAGAATTACATCTTGTTCTTAATCATGTGACCACAACAGGCCAGAGCATGGCTGCTGTAGCTTCCTGTCTATTTGAGAGTCAAAGATACCTCTATAGATTAATGACACTACCACTATCTGACAACAAGGAACAACAAAGCATATGGTCCAGGAAAAGTAATAAAATATCGGCTCGTATTTCTTTTAATACTAATTGAGTTATATGACTAAAATACATGGGGAATAAAATGGATTATGCTAGCAATTTAATCCGACAGTGCTTCATTGGCAAAACGATGGAATAATTCCCAGACTTACTGACAAGCGCCAGCGCTTTCTTGCAAAAACTGACAACCTAATAATTATATCATCGACAGAGAACTAATGAAGTTATCTTACCCGGCTAATCTTAGCATGCTAGCTAGTCAATCTGATCTTGAAATAGAAAATGGGGTTAAAGAGAGCTAAAACCATGTGACAGTAAAATGTCCAATTTACCTGTTCCGTTATGAATTCCTCATCACTCTCCCCAGTTCTTCCTCTCTCAAAACATCTGTGAGACACCCAAAGCGAGACACCCAAAAAGGATCGCCGACTTCCACAACACATAGGGCAGACCAGGCTAATCGTACCAGATCGCAGTGATAAGCAGACAGAAGCAACAAAAAGTATTATTAATCATATTTAGAACTTTTATCAGTCTTGTCGTTTCGGATCCTGTAAGCGAATAAGAGCAACATTTTCATTTAGCTATTTTATCGTAGAAGAGAGTGAAAAAAAAAAAATACACCCTGCGCATGCGCGCATATACGGCGGTCTTTTGTTGTTGTTTGAAAATGGCTTCAACATTGGATTTTGCTTAAACTTCATTTAAGCTTAATTTCTTCCACGGAAATACCACAAAGTTTGCTGGAGGTCACTATCGCATTCCATTGTACGTAATGCATTTGTGTGATTTTTAGCCTGTTTAGTATGATGTTGCGCGTTAACGCTAAATCAGTTTACAATAGCGTCAGGATCTTGTAATCATGTAGCTACTATTATCCACGGGATCTGGGCTACCATTAAATGAATTAACGTTATAGCGAGGCTTTTTCCACTCTGATGATGCTGTTTTGTTTGACGTTAACATTAGCTAACATACTGCAGTGTTAACTAATATCCAGATTTTAACATTTTCCTTAACTTTCTGCTTTTCTTGTAGGACTCAACATGATGTTACCAGTGAAGACTATGGCACCTTCAAAGGTTGTAAAGCAGTCTTCAGTTGCAGCATCAAAGATCAAAACCAAAATGCTCAGTAAGTAAATATCTATTGTTATTGTATTTAACGTTACTAACTGTCTAATAAATATCCAACATCTCCCCACCAGACACATCCTCCTTTTTCAAGGTCTCTTTAAAGATGAACAACAAGGCTCTAGCTGTTGCTTTAGCTGCAGAAAAAGAAAGAAGCAGACAGCTGGAAAGGGAGATTGTTTATCTTCAGAAAAAAGTTGAAGGACTCTGCTTTGATTTGGCAGTAAAGAAATACAAGCAGAGGAAACTGGTAAGTTATTATGTATTTTCTATGAGATTTATCACATAACTTCAAATGTTTCATGCAAGCTTGTGTAGTATGTTTAAACCTTACTTTTTTGTTTTACAGTTCATCATATTAAAAAATCTACAGAACAATACTCTGAATCACCTAGAAATGGTGACAGATCTTTTCTTATCTGACAATGTAAACAGCTTTCTACTCAGGGTATATATTTGTCACACTGTGTTAGCGCGATCATTTCTTCTGATGTCAATGCCTACTTTGTGTTTATTCCTAAGGATGTTCCTAATTCACTTGGTGACCAGAATAATGTGGCTAATACGGGGGGTGAAATTCGTCTATTGTAAGAAAAATAATGAAATTATAAATAGTTTACTGTTGGTAGATTCTTGCTGGTCATGCTAATAATGTACTTTTTCAGTCCTGCAGGACCTTTAACCTCTAAATCAGAAGTTCCAAAGGATTTTTCATGTCCACCACAACAGCCTACTGAAGAGCTAAACCTGTCACTGGATGATGCTGATGATGACGAACTGAGAAAATCCAGAAGTTCAATTCATGTATTCAATGGTATTAATTTTATATAATTAACTTATGCATATTGATAGAACATAGAACACAAAACACCAAGCTGTCTGAGCTAAGATAAGTGGAAAAAAATATTTAGACATGCGGAATAGATTTTATAGCAACACTTATAATGTATAGTTACTGTTGTAATTTTAATACTGATAATGACATAATATTATGTTTGCTTTCAGTTGTCAATGACTGGAAAAGTCTTGCTATCCCACCTGTGCAAACGCCTTCCCTGCCAAGCACAAGGACTTCTAGCAGCTTAAGGGATGAGGTGGACAGGCTGTCAGTGATGTATGCCCAGAATGGATATGATGTGAATACAGTTCCGGGTTTTCAGCGCAGAGAGTCTGTAAAGAGCAACTGTGAAAAAAACAAGTCTAATGTCTCTGAATCTGAACACAGTAGAAAACCTGATAAGACAATCATTTTCGATTCAACCATGGAGCTGACTGTTACTTCTGCTCCTGATATAGTTACTGTTGGGGAGGAACCCCGAACCAATCGCTCCTCTGACAAAAACATAAAAATCAGTAACAAAGATGAAGCAGCTTGCATCAAAATTCACAAACCACAAGCAAAGATGACACAAGAAATGAATGTACCAATTTTTACTCAGCTAGAGAAAGATGCAGTGTGTGCACAGGATACAAACGCAAAGCTTGTGGAGCCACAAAAGGACAAAGCACAGTGTAAAAATAAGATTGCCTCTCGCATACCAAAAATGACAAAAAGTGTTTTGACAAACTCCAAGAAAAGGGAAAATCTGAAACTTGGTGACCAGTTAAATGTAGAAAATGTCAATACTCCCCTACCTGATATGGATGATTATTTTAATTATAATGAAATTCTGAAATCCACCAATTCAAGCAAGCCTGTGGACTTAAAATTGCAAAATGCAGAAGGAATGTCCAATATTAACTGCAGGAGATCTAAAACTAAGAGCCGGAGAATGTCTTCATCTCGAAAGAAAACTTTTTTCATTCCACCCATGCTTTCAAGTGATGTCACACATGAAAGTGAATGGGCTTTTTTAGAATCTGCTCAACATTTGGGAAGGCCTGAATCTGAAAATCAAGAGCAGGACAAATTAAGGCTGTGGGACCATAACAAAACAGACACTAGATCAGTTGAGTTATTTTTAGATGGTTATTTAAAAGAGGATAAAAATATTTCTGAAAAGGCCTACCAAAATATTTCCATGGTACACGAGGAACCCACAGAAGTTCAAGTTAGTTCAAAATTAAACTGCAGGACAACTCGAAGCAAAAGAGGATCCCAAACTACAAGGAGAACATTTGACCTGCCGTATGCCGAAAGTAATGGTGACCAAACTTCTACAAATGTGGAGGATGAGTCTAAAGAATTTAATTTCTCTACAGATATGAATGAGGAAGACGATAAACAGGACTATCTCAGGCTATCTGTCCAGTCCATAAACCATAGTTTGGACAAAATACACCACAATGACCACAATCCTGAAGCTCTCACAAAACGTGTAAAAATGCATAAAGCAAAATGTAGGAGAACATTTGTAATTTCAACAAACAACTGTGGCCCTTTATCAGATGCATCTGTTATGGAGGATGAGGTCACTTGTATGAGATCAAGCACAGACGTGGTAAAACCCGCTGCTGTAAAAGAGCCATGTGTAGGAAACAAATCAGTTTCAGACACACATTGTCTTGAAGCTTTGGTTAGCTCTTGTAAGCGCCCTTGGGTGGCCACTGAGGATACAGAGGAGGACACCAACCAAGTACCAACAGCTGATAGCAAAGCAACGGAACCAAGACTTCAGACTTCAGACTTTCAGCTCCCTAAAAAAGCCAGACTGGATGATGCAAAAGCTGAAAAAAAGAAATCTGTTCAGAAGGAAGAGAGCAGTACAAGAAAAAAGAAAAGCACAGGCAAACTTGATGAGAAAAATGATCACAACAATACTGAATCTAGGAGTTCCATGTGTCCTTTTGATAATGACCTCCCTGATTTCGACAAGTCTGTGGACAATTCACAACTGGTTGATTCATTGTTTGGTCCACATGAAGATGAACTGCACACAGGCATTAAGGAGACTAAATTCAAGATGAACAGAAACCCCAAACAATATCGTAAAACATCAAAGTTGCATGCACCCGTTAACCTAAGAGAGACATTTGTTGTGTACAGCCATTTTTCTTCAAGTCATTCAACAGTGCAGCCAGATGGGGGACTTATAATGGATGAGATGCCTCCCTGGTTGGATCAACATGTCAGCAGTGCAGATACTGAGATGGACTCTGTGATCTGTACCCCCAGAAGAGAGACAGCTACCAAGACAGAAGCATATGGCCCATCTCCCAACAATGTATCAGGTAATATATCATGATTTATTTAAGATTTTTACAAAGGGTAGCCCACCTCACCCCCTGTTGGTGTCACTAATATGGAACTATGTAATAGGTTTTATTGGTTTTGGCTGTGTTGCAGTGGGAAGAGTCCTAACTTCACTGACAAACACAATTTCAACCCCAGATAAGGAAAATGGCAGGCTAACAAGACGAAAAGGCCCTGTGAGTTACAAGGAGCCGTCCCTTAACAGGTCAGTCTCATGTCATTTTTCAAAATTCTATTCAAAATTTAATATAAATTTAAATGTGTTCTTTTTACAGTAAAATAAGACGTGGAGACAAGTTTACGGATACTGAGTTTTTGAATTCACCAGTATTTAAGGGCAAGAAATCAAAGAAAACTTCCACAAAGACAAAGTGCTAAATACAACGATAACTGATTGTTTTTGGGGTTTTTTTTTACTGTAAGTCTGACTATTTTTTTTCTAATAAAGACATTTACCAGTTTTATGTTTCCCTGGTGTCAATTATTCCTTCATCTGCATTGGATCAAACATTTCTCAATTGGTTTTTGGGTATGTAAGCCTGTGTATTGTCACAGAGATTGACAGGAGGTTGGTCATGAATAATTTAGACTGGCAACTGAGAAGTCTGCCCTGTGATCCACATTACTCTTTTCTTTAGGGCTGCAATGCTTGTGAGCCAGATTCAATGTAGAAAGCGAACCATGCCTTCAATGGTCAGGTGCACTGTCAGTTATAGTGCAGTTATTTGGTGAGTAAAGCTTTTTTTTTTTTTTATTAATTTGCTTGTCATTCAGATACTGTAATTTTGGATTCTGGATCACATTCATATGGCTGCTTTGTTTTCAGTTAATGTTTCGAATTTAGAAAATGGGAGCAAGGAGGCTGAAAAGAGATCTTGAAGTTCTTCTGTGAGTTTAAAATGACATAAGAAGATATAGACATTTTTGTCATAGCTGGAGTAGTCTATAATTTTTTTCCTAACATGCAGTGGGGACTACATCGGGCAGAGAATTAGAGAGAAGTCATTTGATCCAAAGGGGAAGGGGACCGCCACAATGCTGGATGACCTGGTATTAAACATAACATAACTACACTTCGATAAACTACAATGTATTATCAATTGGATTTTGTGTTGATTACAGGCCCATTATGATCTTGCAATTAGTGTTGCTCTTTGGTGGCTGAATAAAGAAGAGGGGCGGTATGTGTTTGACAGAGACATTTTGTAAGCAGCTTTTAAATAATGTGGCTGTCAAATGTGAAACAACTGTAAACTAAAATACATTTTTTAGTGGAGCTACAACTGCTGCCCATTATCCAAATCACTTGGAAAGAGAAGCTATGATCCTATCATCCTTTGCCGGCATGATTATGGTGAGTGCCATAGTCTAAAACGTTCAAAATGTATGTTTACCAGCCATAAGTTATGTTATTTGTTTCTTTTTCTTTAATGTGACATGCCTTCTCCAGAATAAGCTGCCAGTTGAAGAAATTCTGGCTCTATACAAATGTAAACCCGCTGCTACTTACTCCAATGAGCATTCAAAGGTAGAGTAAAGGTCTAATTTAGCTTAAACTATAAGATAATTGTGTATGTTATTTTCCTAAACATTTGTTTCATTCCTAGGCAGCAATTGTTTACCCTTTTACATTGTCGTACCATCCATTTGCTATGCTCTCCTCTTACAAGGCTGTACACCATTCGAAGAAGCAGAGTGAGTGACAGTGTATCTGTAACATTCACCTAAATTGAGTTCAACAACTTTTGAAATCTCCTATTAAGATGACAAGTTGAAACGATGGCTGTCTGAGAAGGCCAAGGCTAATGCTCTTCCAACTCGGCCATCATCTTCTTCCTCATCATCTCAGTCATTCCTAAGTGTAGGTTATCACATTTTATCACATCAGATATGCTGAAGAGTATGGGTGCCTAAACCTTCTATTGGATGCAAAAGTGTAAGTGGAAATATACAATTCACCCCTCCTGGGCTGCATCAAAGATGCTCTTCATTTGGTATCCCTGCTCAAGAGCAATTACCCTGTTAAATGTAGCAGTACCCTTCTGCCATCTAGTGGCTATAACTGCAGTATTTGTTTGCAGGACACCAGTGAGTACCACGAAGAAAGGACTGAAAATTATGAAGGGTCACAAGAATCTCTTCAGGACTGAGAGGACCATCCAAACTTAGAGCAAGTCAAAATACTTTAAATGTATTTTGTTGAATACTAATAATGCAGCAAAATATCACATTTAGGGTGTGCTTGTTTTCTGTTTTGGTTTGTAGAACCAGTGCTGTTGTTATAATTAGTTTAAAAACCACCACAGTGTTGAAGTGTCAACAATGGACACATTGATTTGTGATGACCTTGGACTTTCTGTGTGAAAAGTTTTAATCTGCTTGATAATGCATAGCTGAATAAAATGTCCATATCAATTAAATGGGTTCAGTGGGTCAGTAATTTGCTTAGTGTGAGTTCTGCATTGATGATTCAGGGATTTCCACTGTACGCCCTGAATCAGGACTTTAGGCAGTCGTGCCAGCTTGGTAAATCCCTCGTCATTGAAAAAACAGCTAATGTGGGGTCTTGTAACCTTTTGATTGAGGTTTATATAACAGGGCTGTGGTTTTGTGGCTTTGTGAGTCCACCATTTAGTGCAGGGTACGGGCTTCAGCACACTTTCAGGATGAGCAAGGTAAGACTACATTTGCAACCACATAGCACTTCAATTTAGCTTGCTATAAAGTTTATGTAACTCTAATTGATATTTTATTGTATAATTGAAAGTATGATTTTACATGATTTAATAAGGTAAACTATTTTGTGTTTCTTTATATCTTTACAGTATTCATCCATTTCTGGTGCATAATATCATTATGTTGTATGTCAATTATTTCTCAAAATTATTTTTCCATATGGTAGTCTTACTTTCTTACTTCATCTTGGCCTAGATAATCTTTTATGAGGACAGAAACTTCCAGGGTCGCTCCTATGAGTGTGACACGGACTGCCCTGACATGCACCCACACTTCAGCCGCTGTAACTCCATAAAGGTAGAGAGTGGCTGCTGGGTGCTGTATGAGAAGCCCAACTTCACTGGGTACCAGTATGTCCTGACCAGAGGAGAGTATCCAGACTATCAGCGTTGGATGGGCTACAATGATACTATTCGCTCCTGTCGTACCTTTTCCTATGTGAGTGTTTCTTGATCATAAAGCTTAATGTGAGGGGATGAATTATATTATGTTGGAAAGTGTAGTCTGGAAAAAATATGCAAGATGAGAGTCAGAATTACTTAGACTAACTTATGTTGTTTCAAAAACATATGTGGAATCCTCTATATTTTGGCTGTTTCCCTGGTGAAAGGTCACAACATCTGACTCCAGCTTGTGATGTCAACTGGTGGCAGTCCTCCACCAATGATTATTATGATTATATTATTATGATTATTTCACCACAGAAAATCCTAAATAATGCATGATATTGGGTATATTAAACAGTTATTTGTTTTTAAATTTGTTTAAAGTTTTATTTATAATTTATTGTTATACATATACAGTAGCCTGGTATGGGTACGAGCAGTAGAAGTTTTGTGTATCAGTAAAAGTTCTTGTACCAGCGAGGCAAAGTGAAATAGAGTAAAGCTTGACTTTAAACACACATGGCTCTATCTTCGTGTTGAAAACCTAACCAATTACTGGTGACAACAATACTAACACCATTATTTTTAAGGAATAAGAATTATAATTTAAGAGCATTCATTTATATCTCCAGACAAGTGAAGGGCCCTATCGCATCTGTATCTACGAGAGGCCAAACTTCCAGGGTCAGATGATGGAGTTCAGTGAAGACTGCGAATCGGTTCAAGAACATTTCCGCAGTCGTGAGATCTACTCCTGCAATGTGATGGATGGATACTGGACCCTGTATGAGCACCCCAACTACAGGGGCCGGCAGTACTTCATGAGGCCAGGGGAGTACCGCAAGTTCAGTGACTGGGGGGCCACCTGTGCTGCCACCGGCTCCTTTCGCAGGATTACAGAATTTTAAACAGAAATTACAACTGAGGCTCATTATAAATCAAAATTTTGTGGTGGACTAGTAACTACTATAAAAAAGCACATTTTACTATTGGACACATTTATTGAGCAAATAAACACATAAACTATTCTTGTGCTTGTATGTATTCTTTTAGAGCACTAACTACAGCAAATGCTATATAATTCATGAATAAAAGTCTGTAAATCATAATGAGAAAAGATACTTTTCTTTGGATTGGATTGTACAAGTAGACACATGACATTGTGTACACGTATACAACTGTATAAATTCAAAGAAGGCATGGTGATTGTTGCAGCTTATGTTGTAGCTCTTGCTAGAAGGTAGACCCTAAACAGAGAACTGGACAAACAGGGGAAGACTCCTGTACTGTCCATGCTGACACCAGGTCTCATTATAATGACAAAACAGTTAGCAACTGTTGTCAGGGTATAAAACATGCAAAACATGAGCACAGTGTAGTTGACTGACCAACACAGCTGACAAAATGGGAAAGGTAACAAAATCATCTCAGCTCCTCCTTAAATCTGATACTCAACTGCAAATTGTGACAATTTGCCCTCTATTTGCACTGATTATTTTTAGATCATCTTCTATGAGGACAGGAACTTTGGAGGTCGTCACTATGAGTGCATGAATGACTGCACTGACCTCCACTCAATGTTCGACCGCTGTCGATCCATTCGAGTGGAGAGCGGCATGTTCATGATCTATGACCGTCCTGGATACATGGGACATCAGTACTTCATGAGGAGAGGAGAATACTCTGACTACATGAGCATGACAGGAATGACTGACTGTGTCAGGTCCTGCCGCATGATCCCTGTGGTAAGATTACTTATAATGTATGACTAACATCTCTGATAAGGACTTTGATTGGAAATATTCAGTAACTCCTTTATTCAAAGTAAAATGAAAACAAAATTAATCCTCATACAAGCCTATGTAATTTAAAGAGATTTTCTAGACTTACTTGTGCTTTATCTGTTCTCAGCACAGTGGTTCCTTCAGGCTTAGGCTATATGAGCACTTTGACATGGGTGGCACAATGATGGAGCTGGCAGATGACTGCTCCAACCTCATGACCCGCTTCCATATGTCCAATTTCAACTCATGTAACGTGGAGGGCCACTGGCTGGTGTATGAGCAGCCCCACTACAGAGGTCGCCACTACTACCTGCGCCCTGGACAGTACAAGAGCTTCAATGAATGGAGTGGCAACAGCTCCAGGATGGGCTCCATCAGACGTCTCATGGATCTCTAATGACAGCAAAATCGATTTTAGTAAAGTTTCTCCTGTTTGCTGTATATCACACACTAAATAAAATGACATTTACACTTAAAATTACCTTTTGTTCATCTATGAATGTGGCTGGCCTACTCTTATTATTATTTTCATATATAAGTATAATATATAGCATAATACATGTGTGTGGGTTTATATATATATATATATGTGTATATATATATATGTATATATATATATATATATATATATATATATATATATATATATATATATATATATATATATATACACACACATACATACATATACATATATATATATATATATATATATTTTTTATATTTATATATTTATATGAGACAATAAATAAGATGTATAATGGTATAACATCCACCTATTGTAAAACAACCCCAGTACATATTCTTGAATATTACAACATGAATGACAATGCAAAGTCTGCATTTTACATTCTGGCTATATATGACAGTCTGCTAAAAGGTAAATGAGACATACCCAGTGAGATACATGCACTGTGAAGAGGACAAAATGGGAAAGGTAAATATTACAGATTTTAATACATAGCCTATAATTTTATTATAATCTTCTTGTAAAAGAGGCCTTAAAAACACTTATATATTTATCATAATCTTTAAATCTGATTTGTCTATGGAGGTATTTGTTGCATTGACAAGTTGGATATTTTATTTGATAGCAAACAACTGATTATGATTTCAGATAATCTTCTTTGAAGAAAAGGACTTCTGTGGACATCATCATGAGTGCAGTGGAGACTGTCCTGATCTGATGTGCTTTTTTAACCAATGCAAATCCATTAGGGTAACAAGTGGGTGTTTCATGATCTATGAAAGGCCCAACTACACTGGGAATCAGTACTGCCTAAGGAGTGGAGATTACCCTGACATTCACAGCTTGGGGCCCTCTGAATCTGTCAGTTCTTGTCGCTTCATCCCAACTGTAAGCACTTTAGATTTTATACTTTTGATGTTGGTGTGTAGTCCCAGATGTATATTAACATGCATATTTGATTGTCAGGAGCAAGGGTCTTTTAACATGCGTCTATATGAGCGCATTGAATTTGGAGGTCAAATAATGAACTTGGAGGATGACTGTCCAAGTGTTATGGACCGCTTCCATATCAAGGACATTTTTTCCTGTAATGTGACTGATGGCAACTGGCTCTTCTACGAGGACCCAAACTACAGTGGAAGGATGTACCTGATCCAGCCAGGAGAGTACAAGCGGTTCAGTGAGTGGGGTAGTCGCACTGCAAGGGTGGGCTCCATCAAGCGCATTACAAATGATTAAGTAACTGTTCACTGTAGGGATGGGCATGATTAATCGATAATTGATCATTAAGAATTTCATCGATTACGTTAATTTTAATCGACAAACCGAATGTAGGTTGCTGTGCGTAGCGTGACCAAACAGGGGTCCGTACATGTGTCTCTCTGCATCAGAAGGAGCGAGCAGACACAAACATTCGGTCAGTCTGCAGAGTACCGAAGCACAAATGGGTATTTAACGATGAGTTGTACAAGAAATTCCACGCTTTCCGTTGCGTTCGGGACAAGTGTGAGTCCATGTGCACAGTGTATAAAGCAAGAACATATGTTTCGGTGCCCAGTGGGAAAAAGTTTACCAGGTGAGAGTCGCGCAATGTCGATGACGAGTCCCCACCACCCACCTCCCGTACGGTGTCCTGGTTTTGACAAACGCAAATCTGGTCACACTAACCTGTATTCCACTTTATCATGTCTTTTAATCCAACAGAAGTTGACCGCATCAGCGACACAAGAGCTGGAGTTTTATCTTCGCTGAGTTTATGCAAATTAGCGATGCGGTTTTAAGTTTCGTTTCTGTGAGAGTTGCGCAAAACTGAATTAAACACATTATAATGTCAAACGTATTGATGTGGCTCTAGAGTCGTTACGGTTTATATGTCGTAAAGTTGAATTTATTTATGCAGATTAGTAGTGCAGATAGTGATAATAATGATGATCATTTTAATATAAAAACGTTAATGATTAATCGATAATCGATCGTTAATTCTTCCGACGATCGATTAAGAAAATTTCATCGAATGCCCATCCCTAGTTCACTGTAACTGTAAAAAGAAAAGTCGTGACAAGTACCCAGAAGCAGATTTTACTCAATTAATTCAGATTCATTCTGTACTTTCCTATTGTTGCATGTGAAAAATAGAATGCTCTGTCCTGAAAAATAAAGTATATGTAATTGTAAACATTATTTTTTTTAATTATTAGTATTGTTTATTTACAGTCTAAATATACTAAACAGTATCACACAGAAAAATAAAGATAGTTTACCCCAGCAACAACTAGTCTTTGTTCAGACAATTGTGTGTTTTTTAATAATCAGATGTGCTTGTGTCATTCAGCAGTGTATTGTAGCATTTTGTGGATGAAATTGTGAACCTTGTAGAAAAAACAAAAACTCATCATAGAATTTATACAAAGCCTTACGCTCCACCCCTGATCCATCATCCCTGTGAGCGATATATTTGAATGACAATACTTTATGCTGTGCAATCACAGTGCTGCCTTTTTTTCCTTTTTCCTATAAAGCACTCTTGCTTGGCTCATTGCACTGGACACTAGCCTAATATCTGATGACAGAACACATCATGGGAAAGGTGAAAAAACACGATAAAAATTAATGTATGCAAGCTCCTATTTTACTAAACAAATGTTTCCTTTTTCCAGATAATTTTCTATGAAGACAGAAATTTCCAGGGGCGCTCTCATGAGTGCAGCAGTGACTGTGCAGATCTCCACTCCTACTTCAACAGATGTAACTCTATCAGGGTGGAGAGTGGCTGTTTTATGGTCTATGAGCGTCCCAACTACATGGGCAACCAGTACTACCTAAGAAGAGGAGAGTATTCTGATAACCAGCGTGTGATTGGCATTAATGACTGTGTGCGATCATGCCGCATGATTCCCCAGGTACCATGTCTCATTTTCTGTTGTTTTTTATTTGAACAAATACATGCATAGCTCATGATTAACCTTGTGATTGTTCTGTGCCAGCACCGTGGCTCCTACAGGCTGAGGCTATATGAGCGTTTTGACTTGTCTGGACAGATGCATGAGCTGGTGGATGATTGCCCAAACCTCCAGGATCAGCTCAGCATGTCTGACTTCAACTCCTGTAATGTTATGGATGGCTACTGGCTGCTGTATGACCAACCCAACTACAAAGGCAGAGTGTATTTCCTGCGACCCGGAGAGTACAGAAGGTACAGCGACTGGGGAGGCGTAAGCCCAAGAGTGGGCTCAATCAGAAGAATCACTGACTTCAACTAAAGTTTGTGTAATTGCCAAACTTTTCTCTATTCTGTTTGTCCAAGCAATAAACTCTATCCTTAATAAATGTAAAGATTCTGTCTGGTCTCATATTTGTATCAAATTACATCAAACTGACAATAACACAAAATGATGATAACTTCACTTTTTTATGTAACTGGTCAGGTGTTGAGTACTATGATCTTGTGCTTACACATACCAGCGCAAACCATAACAGAGCAGCTCTCTCTCTGTGCCCCATTCGGGATTAGCTGTCTTTATGGGGTGGAATTTATCCATATTACTTTCACAGTTTCTCTGTGCATCAGTGTCAAGCATACAAACCTGAATTAAAAGCATGATAACATCCTAAAGTTTCTTTCCGATGTACTCCTGTATAGTGTTTTCTTACACACTTTCACTTAGAAGGACCATTCCATCAGAAATGTCATTATCCTCTCATATAATTTACATAATGCTGATTAACCAACGTAAGAGACAATACACAATAAAATGGTATAATATTATTATGTTATTGCCTCTTATCATTATTTAAACATTTTATTTGTAATTTTACATTTAAAGTTCATTGTAATCCCACACTTTCACAATCATACTTATGTACCTCTTAACATATCCTTTTGGCATTTTAACAGTATTTTATAATACTTATAGTGTTGAAACATAACAATTAAATATAATAAAACCTTTTCTTTCAAAGAGACCTACAAACAGGGAGTGTCGCCCACTTACTTATTTGCATACGTGGTTTGCCAAAGCAGGGCTGTGGACTGAGAGTGGCTTCCTGCTCTGCTACACAACTTATTTAATGCTGGAGGGTTGTTCCATATTGTTCTGAGCTATTGTCCCCTGGATGTGTGGATACCATACTAGTGTTTTCCTTTGTCCATGCATGTCAAAACACCAAACCAGTTAATTATTTATCTTTTTTCCCCAAGTACAAATCCATATTTTTGCCCCAATGTTGTGCTCTAACAAAAAGGTAAACATGTGCCAGTAGCCTTCAGTTATAACTATGAGGGACAATTTGAATAACAATGCTTTGTTTGTGAAGAGGTAGTATAAAAAGCCCTGAAAACATGGGGAATCTCTCCATCGGAGACCATGGGCAAGGTGAGTACAGTTTTCTCTCTATTTAGATGAGGTGTACACTCAATAAATTGTTTTAGTTTAATGTGAGAAATATAGGTATTAGTAAATTTCTTACTTGATATTTTTTTCATCAGATCATTTTTTACGAGGACAAGAACTTCCAAGGCCGGAGCTATGAGTGCAGCAATGACTGCACAGATCTTCACTCGTACTTCAGCCGCTGCAACTCCATCCGGGTTGAGAGTGGCTGCTTCATGATCTATGAGCGCCCCAACTTTATGGGCCACCAGTACTTCATGAGGAGAGGAGAATACCCTGACTATCAGAGATGGATGGGTTTCAGTAGCTGTATTCGCTCTTGTCGGATGATTCCATTGGTGAGAAACAAATTTTTACCAGTGCAATTATCCATGTACATTTATATTTATTTTGTTTTATTTGTTCTGTCCAAAAAGTATCGTGGCTCCTACAGATTGCGAATCTATGAGAAACCAGACTTCAGCGGTCATATGATGGAGTTCATGGATGACTGTCCTTGTGTGTCTGACCGTTTCCATCACCGTCATGTTTACTCCAGTAACGTAATGAATGGCTTCTGGATCTTCTACGAGTATCCCAACTACCGGGGCAGACAATACTTCCTTCGGCCTGGGGAGTACAGGAGGTACCGTGACTGGTGTGCCACCTGTGCCATTGTGGGGTCCTTCCGGAGGGTCACAGAATTTTAGCCATTAAGCAAATCCTGCTGTAAATATAAAACATTTTGTTTATTAAAGATGTTGAATTTTTAAACTCTTTGTCAAAGTGTTGTTTTTCATTTATAATTTAAAGTAATCTACAATATCCTCCAACAAAACTGCAAGTCATGTGAATTTATAAGCAACAAAATAAAACTATATTTTTCAAAAGGCTAAACTTTGCTTAATAATAGGCTATCTAATATTATTCATTTAGCATTAACCCACTGTCTGATCTTTTAGAAATTTTTCAAAAAATGCATGAGTAGCATTACCACATGCCCACGCAATTTAATGAAGTTAGTAATAATAGCATATACTAATACTAATACCAATTCTAATACTAATGCTAATACTAATACTAATACTAATACTAATACTAATACTAATACCAATACTAATACTAATGCTAATACTAATACTAATACTAATACTATAACTAATACTAATAGGCTGCTGCTTTAGCTTCAAATCCAATTAAAATGTCCATCTGACCATAACTCACACACCGGGTCTATTTGACAGTTTTTATTATTTTCCAGCTTTTGCTAGTTTGTATAGCGTTGTCTGAGCTGTTGGCTAGCAAAATCTTCTCTGTATGACTATACAGTAATTTCGCAAATGTTGCTTCATTAATAGACCGATAGGTTATTCGCGTTTTATTTATTCTTATTCTAACTTTCTCCAGCTAACGCTAGGGGAATATTGCTTCGACCTTCTCCAGGACTGTAAGAGAAATCAGCAACAGCACAATCATCGGTCCATAAGCCAAGGTTTCTACATGTAGCTGTATATCAGGTGGGTAATGTTAATTGTGGGTAAACGTGAAAATCTCATGTGCTGCACGACCACGACCATTGCCCGAGCTAATCATGACTTCTATGCAGGCTAATCAGGCTAACGTATTATCTTAATTAACTGTCGTTAATTCGGATTTGCGGTCCTGTCTAAGTATTAAATCCGATTGGTTTTCATCGTGTTCCTCTCAGTATATGCTAAGGTAAGTACACATTCAATGTTAGTTGATAATTAACGAATTAAAAAACCTAAGCTAAACTAAGCTACCACTTTACCAGTATGAATAAATTATGACTAGCTATATATATGGCTACCACTCTATATAGCTTATATGACACTTATTTTTCTAGTTTATTATTATTACTACTACTATTATAAACACTTTATCATGGAGGTCCATTATATTGTGATAGTTTAATATGTGTATGTTTTTAATTAGTGTTAGTAAGTTTAGCCTATTTAATAAACTAATCCGCTTAGGCTTTTTTTTCCCACATATGGTGTGTATAATGTAAAGTCATGTACAAACTCTCCTCTGTAATTAACCTTTGTATGTCACTGATGTCTTCTTTTTTATTACTGGAACACTCAAGAATTTAACTTTCATTTTTTTAGATTTGGGAGAACTGTTACAAGCTATCCATCAGCAGTCATCAGACTGTACAGTACATGACGACGAACCTTCTCACTGAGAATAGAAAACACACAAAGCTCATTGCTGTAATAGACAATACAGATGACTGCTGCCAGAAATGTATGGAGAGAGATGCATTGTTACACATTTATAAGCCTCGTTCAGCAAAAGTCATACTGCTAATTCATCAGCTTTGTACATTTGAATAACAACACATCATGGCCCCTAGGATTTTGTATAAAAAGGCTGGGGTATCATGATGTTGGTAGAGCAAGTTGAACCATCTACTGGGGACATTCTCAAACAGCACCATGGGCAAGGTAACATTTATGCTCTCTCTTTTAATATTATTCATATTAATATTAAGCATTCTTACAATTTTTTTGTAAATCATATCTTTCAGATTATCTTCTATGAGGACAGGAACTTCCAGGGGCGCTCTTATGAGTGTGTGAGTGACTGCTCTGACATGTCCTCCTACCTGAGCAGGTGTCAATCTTGCAGGGTGGAGAGTGGCTGCTTCATGGTCTACGAGCGTCCCAACTACATGGGCATGCAGTTTTTCATGAGAAGAGGAGAGTATCATGACATGCAGCGCATGATGAGCATGGGCATGATGTTTGACTCCATTAGATCTTGCAGAATGATCCCCTATGTAAGATGCTAACTCACTTTTAATCATTATTGTAAATACTTTTTATTGAACAAAAATTTTCTTTTACAGCACAGAGGTTCTTTCAGGATGAGGATCTATGAGAGGGAGAACTTTGGTGGCCAGATGTATGAGCTGATGGATGACTGTGATAGCATCCAAGACCGGTATCGTATGAACGACTGCATGTCCTGCCATGTGATGGACGGCCACTGGCTGATGTACGAGCAGCCTCACTACAGAGGCAGGATGATGTACTTCAGGCCTGGAGAGTACAGAAGCTTCATGAACATGGGAATGAGTGGAATGAGGTTCATGAGCATGAGGCGTATCACTGATATGTGTTAAGCTTGTGTTATACTTATTTGAATAAAATCATGTATAATTCATTATCTTGTGGGATTCCTTTTTACTATTATTTAATTGTGTCAACATAAATATCCCAGATTATTTGATTCATTATTCATTAATTTAAGTATCACTAATATAATAAGCATAAACCTATGGGCCAAAAAATTCAATCTCTATTTTGTTGTGTTCTTGCCTAAAATTGAGGCAAAAGAAAAAAACTAAACAAAAAAACAACAACACATTAATTTCAGTAAAACATTCAGTTATACAATACATCTGTGAGATCACAATTTTGTGGGATATACAGGGCCTTTCTATTTTGTATAATTTCTAAAAATGTATTTAGTCATAGTTTCACTTTTCAGATAGGCATATTTTATAATCAAGAGGACTTGGCTTTCAAACTTTTCAAAAATGTATACATTTTAATTAACTGAATAAAAACAAATTAACCACAAGAATCTATGTACATAAATGTGCCTGTTTTTATTGTGCCTTTTTCATTTATTTGAACTAATCTGTAACTGAAATGCAGTAATTTATTACAATAATATTAGGTAATCAATAAATTATATAATCTCTTTTAATGGAATTGTCTGTAAATTAACATACAGTAGGATTTACACAGTTTAATAAATGCAAGGGCAGATAATGGGAATAACTGGATTTTATTTGCTGTTTGGTGTACATCAAAATTTTAATAACAGGAATCCATGATGCGTCTCATGCTCATGAACCTCATGCCGCTCCAGCCCATCTCTCTGAAGCTCCTGTACTCTCCAGGCCTGAAGTACATCATCCTGCCTCTGTAGTGAGGCTGCTCGTACATCAGCCAGTGGCCGTCCATCACATGGCAGGACATACAGTCGTTCATACGGTAGCGGTCCATCATGTTGTCACAGTCGTCCATCAGCTCGTGCATCTGACCACCAAAGTTCTCCCTCTCGTAGATTCTCATCCTGAACTGGCCTCTGTGCTATATGTGAAAAAAAAACAGTAGAAGTTTACATTTTGTTTTACTTTCTTAATTACTTAATTTTGAAGAAGACTGATTTACTGTACCATTGGGATTGTGCGACAAGACCTGATGCAATCACTCATGCCCATACGCTGGTAGTCAGAGTACTCTCCCCTCCTTACAAAAAACTGATTTCCCATGTAGTTTGTGCGGTCATAGACCATAAAGCAACCGCTCTCCACCCTGCAGGAGTGACACCTGCTCAGATAGGTGGACATATCGGCACAATCACTGCTCGTCTCATAGGAACGTCCCTGGAAGTTCCTGTCCTCGTAGAAGATGATCTGAAAAAGCCAAGGAAATATTAAATTGCATTTATAAACTTATTTGTATTTTTTATTTCTAGAGAATGTCAGATAGTACACACCTTGCCCATTGTCATGGCTGAAGTTATAATTGTTTTGGCTCTAAATGACTGCACAGTTACCCCGATACCCACTGGTTGCTTTTATACCAGACCCCACACCCAAAGGATGCATGACCCATTGTTCAAATTCCTGACAGAGCAACCTAGAACAGAGGCCCCACATACTGTTCGATTCAAAGTGACCTTATACACTCCATGATTTGCAGTGGTTGCATTTGTCAGCTGAGGCCCACGTGCGTTTTTTTCATTGATGATGAATAACACATTACTTTTTACTATATGACAAATATGTTCCATACTACTGTCCCAAAATACTGCTACATGTGTTTAAGTCTGGCTCCAAAATATGTACATTTTTAATGTTAGGCTTATGCTTTTTGCGTTTTTGCTCATTTCTTTTGGAATCTTCAACTTGTTACTTCTACCAGTCTGAATAATAACCAATAATCTATATATTAGTAGCCATCTAATGGACACCAACATGCTCATTTGATGTTTTTCATCATAATTCTGCATCCCTAACCAATAACATGTAAATGAGTACTTCCCTGAAAGTTGAATCAGACATGTAATTAATTACATTATATTTCAATAAAATTCCAATAATTTCAAATGGGCTTTAATTCACTTGGGACATTTTACTTAAGATATTAAAATGTTTGTAGTTCAGATTTTGGAGGAATAAATTGAACCTTTTTTGTATTAAATTACATTGATCAAAATTGTTTTTTTTTTTTTATGTTGATGACATTATTATTGAAAACCATTTTATTTATTTTTAACAAGAATAAAATTTGAATATTCTGATAGAATAATGAGGGGGGGGAGTGATACATTATTTTGCCATATTGCCCATGCTTCCTTTTGAGCCTATTTCAGATGAATTACTGAACCATTATCATCTGATTATCATGATTATCATCTGATAACCATTATTGGGATACTAAAATATATAGTTATTAATTATTTTGTTTTTAGTTTTATTTAAATTAAACTTAATTTTTTCAACTTAGTGGAAATGTCTTTGGTTCACCATCCCATTGTTCATTCCATCAAAGCTTTACAATGAATAATAAGTCTGCTGCATAAAAATATGTTGCTGTACACATTCATTAGTGCTTATTTAACAAACTGACTGCAACTGGCACAAATTAGCCTTTGTACACCGTGTTTGTTGCTAAAGGCGTTTTTGTATAAACACCTAAATGGCACTTATTTTTATTCATCCCACAGAGGATGCTCAGCATCACTGATAATAGACTTACCCATCCTGTAAATTGCTGACTCATAAAGCATTTTTTCTTGTTCTTTGCCAATTCTTTTTCCTGCATTCTTTACAATGCTGTTCTTGTTAGCCACTGTCACAACTAAACACATGTTAAAAACAAGAACACTTTCGGTGAAGCTGACATAGCCTCTCACAAGAGTAGAAGAATGAGAGAAGGAAATGTATTGTGGTCTACATGGAATCATGCAACTGTGTGGGTACTAGTGATGGTAGTAAATGTTAGCGAACCACTGAACATTATTATAATGAGCCAACATTTGTAATGCTTTTATGTTGTATAGGAGGAAATGAACAATATTTATAGTTGCAATAATTTTCCTTTATTCATCACTTATATCAGTGTTATTACTTAGCTGGAGAAGACAAAGAGTAGAGAACAAAGAAATTTTATTTTATTATATTTTTTGCTCTTGAACAATTAGCAGTTAGCACATGTCCATGATGCGTCTCATGCTCATGAACCTCGAGCCGCTCCAGCCCATCTCTCTGAAGCTCCTGTACTCTCCAGGCCTGAAGTACATCATCCTGCCTCTGTAGTGAGGCTGCTCGTACATCAGCCAGTGGCCATCCATCACATGGCAGGACATACAGTCGTTCATACGGTAGCGGTCCATGATGTTGTCACAGTCATTCATCAGCTCGTGCATCTGACCTCCGAAGTTCTCCCTCTCATAGATCCTCATCCTGAACTGGCCTCTGTACTGTAAGTTGATATTTTGTATTAGTTTTCAATAAATGTAATACATTTTTAATAATTAAGAATGTTGTAAAAATCAAATCTCTACTTTATGGTTCCCTTTGCCCTACTGTCTGGGTATCATATTTCTGTTTAACTTAACAGATAAGAAGGGATATACATTTCTATTCTGTTTAGTTTTTGTTGCTTATACTTACCATAGGAATCATACGGCAAGACCTGATTCCACCACTCATTCCCATCATGCTCATGTAGTCAGCATACTCGCCTCTCCTCATGAAATACTGATTTCCCATGTAGTTGGGACGGTCATAGACCATGAAGCAGCCACTCTCCACCCTGCAGGAGTGACACCTGCTCAGGTAGGAGGACATGTCAGCACAGTCACTCATGCACTCATAGGAGCGCCCCTGGAAGTTCCTGTCCTCATAGAAGATGATCTGAAATAAGAGAAAACATGAGCATTATGAATCAGTACAGTTAACATTAAATACTGCATGTTGTACAGAGAAAATACTGCAAAAAGATTTTACCTTGCCCATGCTCATGTCTGTGGTGGACATTGTTACAGTTGAGCTGCTGCTGTTGCTACCGCTACTGCTGCACTGTCCTCTCTGTGTTAACCCTTGCCTTTATACCTCACCAAATGCTATACAGTCTGTGGGCCCCCTTTGTATAAATACCTGACCAAGCAACATGGTATAGAGTGCAATAGACTCTACTGTTAGCATGTTACAGTGTAAATCACATGACTGCATCATAAAAAAGTTGCACCTCAACTAAATAACAAAATTTGGGGGAACTATAGACTGTACTAATTCTAGACGCATGTAGTGAGTGCATCACAAAAGCTTGGACTTCAGGCTATGTGCTGAAATACAATTGGTGCAAATAAGAACATGCGGTATTCCAAAAGTTTCAGCTGTCTTTGACATATTATTGCCCTTCCCAAAGTTTGCCCTTACCAAATTGTGAAATTGCTTGAGAACTGGGATGTACCAATATTTTAAACTGTATTAAAATCTCAGGTTATGTATTTATTGTAGAATAATAGAAATACTGTGCTTCCAATTTTCAGATAAGCTTTTATATTTTTGTCTGCCATAATAATATGAGACTTAGTGAGAAATATGTGAGACATAGCTAATTTTTCTCCACTACTTGTGATGTCACATGATTGTTTACCCTGTATGTGTGTGATTACAGAGTACCATTGTGTGATCAGATTTTCAAAATTCAAAAAAATGATATTCCCAGATTGGGATGGTTGTCATAAATTAAATTGTGAAAAGAGCATGTAACGTAATCCATTCTCGACTCACTTGTGGATCAGTATATGATCTGAGGGACATCTTTTGGTGCATTTTTTTGTATTTTAACTTTTTTAATTTTAACAAATTACAGTATATTTCCTCCTTAACTGTTGGCGGGTGTCAGATTCGTCAAAAATATGGACACCTGAAAATTTCTTTGGGGACAAGTTGATTGTTTTTAATAAATCTACTGGGAGATGGGACACGGGGCTCAAAACTGGGACTGTCCTGGCATAAAATGGAAAGGATATGACCAGAAGATATCAATCTGTACAAAAAAAAAAAAAAAAACACGCCTTGATTAAACTTTACAAAGACGAGTGGGTCTGGTGATTGACGAGTGGATTAAGGATTAACCAGTCAGAGAGAGGCATGGTCTGGTTGTGGCAAAACAAACATGGCAGCTTACATGGAAAAAGATATGCAGAGCACAAAAAACAGCACAGATTTTTGGATAATCAAAGAGCAAAGCACTAATCTGTAATTTGTGTAATATTTGCTCTTCTGAATGTTACTACACTGTAAAAAAGTAGACCTTACTTGAAAATATCTTGGAATTCGATTGCTTTGAAAAATCTAACTAAAGTGGAAAGTGAATCTAAAGCTGAGCTTACAAGTAATTCCTCAGTGTAGTGCACAGTAAACTCCTCTTTCATCTAACATGTACAGCAAGTTAAGATTACTTTAGTTTTCATTCTTAGAACTCATGTTGTGAAGCTGTGCCAACTAAACAGTCAGCTTCTCAAATCTGAAATATGTAATAACCTTTACTTTAAGAGTAGGTAAATCTTACATGGAAACTGATTGCCTTGAATTGAGTAACTAAATGCATATGCACAAAAAAGGTTCTATTCTACATTAATGCTGTTTAGATCTTCATCAGGTACACAAGGATTTGACTATTTATTAGTCTTTGAAAAAACATGGCAAAACTTTTGTTCAGCTTAAATTCAAAACACACTAACATGTGTAACAATAAAACAATATAGATTGGTCATTCCATGTCAACTCAACCAAGACCACCCGCATTTAGGTCTCAAAAAATGCTGGAAGACCCAAAACAGGTGTACAGATGTAATCTAGTGCGGACTGAATGTACAGAGGGATGATTGAGACTGCCTGGGAAGATTAGGGAATGAATGGCAGCTGTAGGAAAAACAGGAAGGTAGCAAAAGGAGGACTGGAACAGACTGGGAAATGGAGCTGGACTCTTGGCAATAATACGTCACTATTGAAGTTCATTGTCTTATTCTTGAAGTTGACCTTAGTCTAATTGACAGGTAATGTGCTTTTTTTCTCCCTGAAAGTAACTGTTACTTTTCCACAATCATAAAGATCCATAAATTCAGAGTTGTGAGTAAAGTAAACTAGCTGGATGCAAGTTAACCCTAGTGTTAGATTTTACAGTGTAGGAGTTGATTTACAGACAAATTAGTGAAATAAAACCCAGGAACATGTAGATTGGGTTAATACGAACATTTTAAGACTAAAATGCTAGCAGGTTAACTATGTCCATTCATAGAGTCTATGGTTTTATGTTAACTGAAACAGAGAGCTCTACTATCAGTGAGACAGAATCTTTGGTAAGTGTTCTTTTATTATGTCAGATATCCACGCATATGGATTTTTTATAATAAACAATCCATTTGTAAAGAGTACAAGTATTTTATTACCAATGGATGTGAATATATGTGTTATATACTATATGTAGTAGAGAACCTGAATATAA